ATTAATTATATAATAGTGTTATCGGCTTAATAATAATATTATTATTATAGGATTTTACAAAGTAATATTTTGCCACCACAGAAAATCATCGTTCCTGATACATCGTACATTCGTACATTCGTACGTATGTACGTACATATCTAAAATTTCCTCGTACAGGTGTACGACCACAACGAAACTGTACGAACTCAATGGTACGAAGTCAGTTGTACGTATGTACATACATACATACATACAAAGATTCTTCTCATACAGCGAAATTGCACAACCCTGATTTAGAAATGCCATATTTGGGACTAGTAATCATGTTTGTAGTGTTGTACAAGAAATTGAGAATGTCAAGTCGAGAATGTTATAAAAAATTCTACAACCCAATCAATTACATTGATCGTTCCATCTATAAAAGCAAGGTTTGAAGCTTTTCATTAAGTTTTAATTATCATCAATTTTTAAAATTATAGCATACGCAAAAAAACAAAATTATTTTCTTTAAATTAGTATCACTGTTATGTTTACTACTAGTTATAATGTCTATATTGTTAGTACCTGCTGAGAGAGTAACAGCGGACGTTGATACAAGTATCTATTTATGCTTTAAATATATGAATTCACGCACACAGTTTATAAGTGACATAATATATCAAAAAGATTAATCAATCATTGACAAATTACCTTTTGCCTTGCTTGTTAGTTATTGGTATTGATTTGGGACAACATATTCTTGTGTTGGCGTATACTTAAATGGAAGGGTTGAAATTTTAGCCAATGACCAGGGAAATCGTATTACACCATCTTATGCTGCCTTTACTGATGATGAATGTTTAATTGGAGATGCAGCAAAAAATCAAGCTGCTAATAATCCTAATAATACCATATTTGATGTAAAACATTTAATTGGAAGAAGGTTTTCGGATAAAAAAGTACAAAGTGATATTAAACATTTTCCATTCAAAGTTGTTGACAGAGGTGGCAAACCAGCAATTTCAGTTAAGGTTAAAGGAAAAGAAAAAACATTCTCCCCTGAAGAAATTTCTGCAATGATACTTGGTAGAATGAAAGAAGTTGCAGAATCATTTCTAGGCATAAAAGTTGTAAATGCAGCTGTTACAGTTCCAGCATATTTCAATGATGCTCAACGTCAAGCAACCAAAGATGCTGGTGTTATAGCTGGGCTTAATGTCATGCGTATTGTGAATGAGCCAACAGCTGCTGCAATAGCCTATGGCCTTAATACATCTAAGGGTTAACATCAAATTCTTGTCTATGATCTTGGTGGTGGTGCTTTTGATGTTTCCTTATTATCTATTGATGATGGTGTGTTTGAAGTTTTGTCAACTTCTGGTGATACTCATTTGGGTGGTGAGGATTTTGATAATAGGGTTATTGAGCATTTTGTCAAATTATATAAAAAGAAAAATAAGGTTGATATTACCAAAGATTTAAAAGCAATGGGTAAATTAAAACGTGAAGTAGAAAAGGTCAAGTGTACTTTATCATCTCAAATGTCAGCTCGTATTGTAATTGGATCATTTTTTGATGGCAAGGATTTCTCTGAGACCTTGACCAGAGCAAAATTTGAAGAATTAAACAATGATCTTTTCCATAAAACATTGAAACCTGTTGAACGAGTCTTGAGAGATGCCAATGTTAGAAAATCAGCCATTCATGATATTGTTTTGGTTGGTGGTTCTACGCGTATTCCAAAAATTCAACAACTCCTTGAAGAATTCTTTGATGGTAAAAAAGCTTCAAAAAATATTAATCCTGATGAAGCTGTTGCTTATGGTGCAGCTGTTCAAGGTGGTATTCTTTCTGGAGCTGAAAATGCTGAAGATTTTTTGATTTGTGAAGTTTGTCACTTAACTCTTGGAATTGGAATAACTGGTGGGGCTATGACAAAATTGATTCCTCGTAATACTGTTATTCCAACCAAAAAATCACAAATATTTTCAACTGCAAACAACAACCAATCTAATGTATTAATCCAAGTGTTTGAAGGAGAAAGTTCTTTGACTAAAGACAATAACTTGCTTGGAAAATTTTACTTACAGGAATTCCACCAGCACCACGTGGTACACCTCAAATTGAAGTTACTTTTGAAATTGATGCCGATGGTGTCTTGAAAGTTTCTGCTGTTGATAAAGGTACAGGAAAATCTAAGTCTGTGACAATTAAAATGATAGTGGATGCTTTTCAAGAGAAGAAGTTGAACATATGGTTGAAGAGGCTGAGCACTTTGCTGAAGAAGATAAACTTCAAAGGGATAGAATCAAGGCAAAAAATAAGCTTGAAAATTATATTTACACCATCAAGGATGCAATTAAGAAAACTAATGATTGGTTTGATGATTTTTCAAATTCTGCTACTAAAGAAGACTTTGAAGAAAAATTAAAGGAACTAGAAACTGTTATAAATCCAATCATTAGTAAATTGTATTCGGGTGGAGCATCAACAACTGGTGATGATGATGAATTACCAACACACGAAGATTTATAAGTAAAGATATTTAACAATAACATTTCATTTATGCGTATAATTTTTTACATTTAGGTGTTATATTTGATTAGCAGGCTTGTATAAAAATTAATTGTTTTGAATCATTAATACGTCAATGTAATAATAATGGAACATCACAATAATTATGTATAGATTTTTATTTTTTTAGAATAAAAACAAAACACATTTAATATTATTACATTTTGTTTTGAAAAAAAATTTTTTAATTTTTTAGATGATGACAAATGTGAATATGGTTGGTGTATTTTGAAGAAAACGTGTTGTTATTAATAGCTAGAGGCTCGAATTTTTTTTGTAGTATATTTGGGGCATACTGCAACAAAACCAGAAAAAGTGAACATTGGTACTATCAGTGATTCAGGAATCAAAATTTAGTCATTTGTAATGCGATCATAATTAACAGTTTTATAATATCCCATTTGTTATCTTAAGTGATATATGAACTATCCCTATATAAAAATAGTTAATATGAAGCTCATTTACATCAGATCTACTATGGAACCCAAGAATTATAGTACTATCAGAAGTATTTTGAAAAAGGAACAAGGAAAAAATTGCTCCTTATATTTTCAAAATAAATGATACTCAGATACTAGAAGCTTATCTAAAAAAGAAAGGATTGCCTATGAAATTTACCAAAATAATAAGTGTTGAGAAAAGAAAGCAGAATGAAGATGTGCTATTATCCAACAAAAAGCAGAAACTTTTAGAAGAAAAATAATCACATTGTTACAATATTGATTTATTTTTTCCTTTTAATTCTTCTAATGACATAAATCATAAAACCTAAAAAAGTTATATCTACTATTCATAAATAGATTTATCATAATTTCCTTTATTCTTTGAATATTATTTTTATATTCATCTGCAGCCTTGGCAAAATCTTAATTTTTTAAGTCAAAAACTGTAGTTTTGACATGATTGCATTTGTAATCAGAAAGAATATAAATCTTATTTTAATCAGTAGCTGTTTTTTTATAACCATTGGATTACATCAATAATGTATCAAAAGCCAGAATATTAACTTATATCTAAAGGAACATAATATCAGCATGACTACCATCTTCCTCTAATGCCACCATTTGATGAGTAGCAGGAGCAGTGTCGAAGTTAAGGAGAATTGGATCATCATAATCTAAAGTACAATAATTACATTCTTGCTTATTCCCTTTTGCTAATTCCAAAATTCTGTATTCTAGTTTCATACTAACTAGTTACTTTTCTGAACAATGAAAGTTTGGAAATTTTCCTTGGTTTTTTCTTTCACTTTGCTTACCAATTGTTTAGTTTTCACAACCTATTTTGCTTTTGTTTCCCTGGTGAAGCTGGTAATTCTTAGTTTTTATTTCTTCAATAATTTGTCTTCTGTTGTTCATTCAACAGACTCCTTCCTAACATGCTTATTTGATCCAAAAGCTCCTTTTCCCTCACATCATGCTTATCAACTATTTCATCCACCTGTCATTTTCTCCACTTCATAGCTGTATTTAGTGCCTTTTCGGCTTCCTCTTGCTCCATTCACACTTCATCAAATTCTTTCTGCTTAGTTTCTAAATCCTTAATTCACCCAATTTTGCTTTTGATAATATCCCTAATAATACATCTTTAGCAGGCCTACCCCAAGTTTTCTCCACTTCTTATTTGACCAATGATAGCATTCTTTCCACTTTGATGCTCACAATGCTTTTCATTTTCAGATTCATAGTAATTGTTAACAATTTCTTCAATGACTTTCTCTTTGTTTTCATTATGTTTATAATATAATTCCTATACAAATTGTAGATAATTTAGGAAATCATTAGTTTACATAAAACAAACATCAGAGCACAAATGCAATTTCAGAGAACCCAATCCATTTTGAATTGCAAATTCCTCTCTGAGATTGAAACTAGTTGCAGATATTCATTGCTTTTATGAACTATATGTTTACATGGCACTCCTAACATTATAGCTCTTTAATCCACCCTATAAAAAATTTGGTATGGAAAATGTATGGAAACTGTATGGAATTTTACCTGAAATTTGCATTTTCCTGTACATTTTCAGAGGGATTTTCCTACAGAAAAATGCGAATTTCAGGTAAAATTCCATACAAATTCCCTACAGTTTTCTATACATTTCCTTACCAAATTTTTTATAGGGCCAAGTTGCAACTTCTTGGTTGTAGATCCACTCATCTTTACCCTAGAAAAAGGATAGCTTCAGCAGCTTTTTAGTCTTCACTGGTAGGTGCTGTAAGGAAGATGATTAGGGCGACATTGGCAACAATGCAACTTTGATAAATTCCAGGCTGCACCTCATCCCTAGAATTTAATTGCATTGCTGGATCAAGTCAGATTAGCCTTGTGAACATAAGGAACATGTGAGAATGACTGTAAAATATTCAAGGTAGTGTGTGTGCTTCAACATTGAAAATTCAAACATTACATATCAAAAATGTTCCATATTGAAATGTTCCTTCTGCATAGTGTTCACAATCATTATATTTATGAATATTCATTAAGGGGGTACACTTATCAAAAATCCAAAAATCCCTTAAAATTATATTCATGAATATGATGATTGTGATCACTCTTCTGCAGCAGTCATGCTACCTTGACATTTTCTTGTAATTATATATTTAATATTACCAATCATATATTATCTCTATAATAAATACCTAAAGAGACAGACAAGTTCCATTCCATCCACATTTTGATTTTAACAAATATATTTTATATAAAATAAAAGTCACATATCAATACATTTATAGAACAATAAAAATAATAAAACTGTGTACCTCTCACTATCAATAAATAACATGTTGTGTTCTTTAGAACCAACAATGCCAAACAACATTCACATTTCCTCATCTTGTAAAAAATAAATTGTTATTCCAAAAAAACAATAGCAGTTATGTACACATATGTTGATCAAACAACAACTATATATTTGAAATAATAAAAATTTTTTTAAAGAGAAAATTCCACACACTATGCCAAAAGATAAATTATGAGGATACAAAAGAACCCAACAAGGTGCTGTGAAAGGCTCATTCATGTAAGTGTTAAAAAGAATGGTGATGGTGGTTGCAGTCATTGCCATACTAGTTAGTTATTAAAAGAATGGTGGTGATGGTTGCAATGCATTGCAGCTTGTCATCATTCTAGTTTATTAAGAAGAATGATGGATTATCATCATTCAAGAGCTTTTCTAATTGAAGACTAAAGCTGATTTTCATTGAAGCAAGGTCTAGCAATGTTCCTAAGGATTTCCCAAGTCAGAGTTGTGGTGTTCTTAATGATATAACTAACAAATTTAGCTGTGTCCAAGAAAAAAGTGAAGAAAATAAGGTATGTCTTGTGTATATTTGTAGGTACTGCTATTAAAATGCATTATATAATAAAATAATGGCTAAATTGTATAGATTGAACCATCATATATTCTAAAACTACAAAAATTGTTAAGCCAAGCAAAAAAAGGAAAGAACAATTTCAACAAAGAGTAAATATCTTGACAATTTATCTGTAATGTTTCAAGATGTCTTAATGTTTTGATATCCTTGCAGGTTAGATATGTCAGGAATATTACACTTTTCCTCTAGACTGTCACATCTGGAGCCATCATTAATGAGATCAAAAGCAAAAAAAGGTTTGAAATGCAAGAACTTCTTAATATACAATCATTACCAGTCATAAATCATATCCCTTTAATTGAAGATGTAAGAATTATTCAATCTTATCATAGTGAATAATGATAGTTGATTTCCAATTCTAATCTTTGCATTATTCATGAAAACAAGAAATTTGGAAAGCCTAAGATCTCGAATTGATGATATGAATGTGGCAACATATATGAATCAATTAGTCAGCATTTGTATGATCATTTGTAAGTGATTTTTTTTACAAGCATACTTACTATAAGCTGTGCATTTAACTCGATTTTGTTACCTGCAGTTGTAGTGGTTTAGAAGGGCAAGCTAAGTTATCAAACCTGATGGAAGAGAGACTAAAGATGGTTCCTCAATTAGTTGAAACTAATTGTGGCATATAAAAATTGAATCTTGGTTAATTGCAGTTCCCACCTTTAAGAGAGACAATTCACAGTTAAATACATTCAACCATTGTTTGATTGGGTGCTTCAAGATGTGCCAGATGTTGACAATTTTTGGTAAATATTCTAAGAATTATTAATCATGCAGGTATATGAAAAGTGGCACTGTCTGATCTGATTGTTCATATCTTACAGGTGCAATAAAGGAAACAAAGATCTCATTAAGAGTTGATGTTTGGAGCACAACTTCTGGGATGGTGCATTTTATGAAGAGTCTGCAATGTACATGGAAAGGCCACATATAGGTCTCATAGTAATTTCTGGTGGTACAGAAGTTTGTAGCATGACAAAACTACACAATGATCCAGGATTGGCAAATTGACTGTCCATTGAGAACTGATGGACTTTGGACGGTCCATTGCCATTAATAGAATACTAAATATAGTTAAAATGTTATACTAATGGACCCAATGGATCACCAATAGACCATCAATGGACTACATATTTGCCAACCCTGCAATGATCTACTTAAAATTGCAAAAGGCATGAAAAAACATCTCCAGAGAGTGGGGATCACAGTTGTTGGCATAAATTTAAATGAATGTCAGAAGTTGAAGGTTGTGGCATCACAAATTATAAATATGTTTCCTATTTTTATCCAAAGTTTCCTTGTGCATATGCAGTGTTTATTTGATACATTAATTTCTTTAACTGTGTGTCTTTAGATAATTATTTCTATATGCAAGCAATGAGCTGTGTTGGTAATGATGTCTATATTATGTGAGAATGTCAAAAATCATTTTACCTTGCTCATTTGAAGACATGTGTTCACTATCAGGAACATTACATTCAATATTGATCTTTAAACAGATCATTCTTGACACCAGAAGTTCGCTATTGTGTTTGGATGGAACACCAACAACTGGTGATGATGAATTACCAACACACGAAGATTTATAAACTGAGACATTTTGTAATAATATTAATAACATTTTATTATTACATTTATGCATATAATTTTTTACATTTAGGTTTTATATTTGATTAGTAGCTTGTATAATTTTTTTTTGAATTAGGAATGCGCTAATTGTTAAATTAATGTATAACGGACATTTGAATTTGTCGCACGTGACAAATTCAAATGACAATCTTTTTTACGACGGTTCAAGAAAAAAAACTGGTCATATATAGTAACCTGATCAAAAATCATTGTGCAACCTTTCGTTGGAAGTTTATTTAATATTAGTTAAAAATAATCGCGTTAATTCCGCAGTCTGCAAGACCTAAATGAGAGCGAAATTTATTCTAAGGTGTTGATTTTCACTATCTTCAAAAAATGGAAGATCGTTAATTAAAATAAAAACGATTTATAAATCAATTATTTTGTCAAAAAAAGAAGTGTTTTTCTTAATTTTATTAATAAATAGATAAATAATGATTAAAAAAAAAATTCAAAAGTCCCTCCTCTAATTAATCATACCTCAATCCCGTAATTCAAAATAAAATAAAATAAAATAAAATAATTATAATTAAACCCTATTTAAAAAAAAAGACTACACATATCTAAAATATACATAACACAATATAGTTGATAAATTACAATAATTAAAATTTTTACAAAATTAACGACATTGAGATTTATTCAATGAAATATTTACTTCCATTTTTTAAACTTGAAACTGACGGTGATAAAGGTCTAGATAAATTTGACGGAGACAAAGCCCTAGGTGAAGTTGAATTACTATAGTTAAATTGTCGCTGTATTTGCTGTTGTTTTTGACGCAGTTGTTGTTGTTGTAAAGCATTTGACATGACATCATTTTCAGTAGCTTCTTCTATTGTCGCCATTTCCTCCGCATCGATCATAGGGTATTGTTGTTGTTGTTGTTGTTGTTGTTGTGGCGGTGATGCTGGTGGTGATTGTGGCCGATTCGTCAATTTTCTTGCTTCAGCAAGTGGAATTGTTGCTATATTGCTTGAAGAAAGGACTGGTGCTATATATACAAACACATATTTATATTTATATTTTTTTTATATTTATAATAAAGTTATAAAAATATTTATTTACCTTTTGTGTCTCTTGCTATTGTTGCTTTCATCATGGCATTAAACCATCCTCTAAATTTTTCACGATCATCGTGTGCAAAACAATATTGGCGTTCAGTGTCATGAACTAATTTAAATCCATAATTTCCTTGTAATAATTTAGAATCTGAAATAACACGATAGCCTGTAAGGTTTATATGCCCTTTAACTTTAGGCGTACGTAGACCCTAATATTTTATATATATATATATATATATGCATATTTAATTTAATCAAAAGTAGATAAACATATTTATATATAATGTTATCGTCAATATTATTATTACCTTGGTGTTTCCAAACACGTAGAAACTGGATCCTTTTAACATACAAAATCTCGATTTCCATGATGATTTTGATTTTTCTCCTTGTACTTTCAACATTCCTTTATAATCAGGAACTTCATTTGAGCTCAACGATTCATCATTTTCTTCTTCTTCAATTTTATCTACAGTATGTTCATAAAAACTTTCCAACTTCTTATTATCTATTGGATTATCTTCTTCATCTCTGATAATAGATATTTAAAAAAAAAAAATATACATGAGAAAATGGAAATTATAGGAAACACCGTAGTAAATTAAAACCTACGTGTTAGCATATTTTGGTAAACCAATTTGACTCCCGACCAAACTATTACGATCCTATATACATAGAAATAAACACATAAATTAACAAGACCAAATAATTTTACTAATATTATGATATATGCCAAACATACCATAATAGCTGTTTTTCTTGATTTTCTTGTTGGAAATAATCTTGTACTTTTGCCTTTTCCTGGGTCGGATGAAATTTGTTGCGAATATTTAGAATTTTCTGATGTTTCCTTCATAGATGAATTTTCTTCCTCCTGTAATAATTTTTTAAAATCAATTTAAAGAAAATTAAGTAAATGTTATTTATTACAATAATCCAAAACTGTATAACCATGCTTACCGCTAAAAAATTCCAACCCCCTGTTGAGTTTGATCTCAGTTTGTCTTTTTTTGATTTTACAAATTTATCTGATCTGCTAGTTCTATTAAACCTTGAAAAAATTTTGCTGCCTTTTTTGGCTAAAGGAGGTCTTTGAACATTACTAATCTTTAATGATTAATTGAAAAGAAAAAAAATATTTTTGAGTATACAATTGGCGATATTTATTAAATTTCGTAAGTAAACAAATAAATGTGCGGAATGATAATATTTAATATATACATACTTCATCTTTTCCACCTTCATGAGATTTTTTTATTCGAGAATTATGCGTAGAACTTGTTGAATTCGGAGTATTTGGCGTTGACGTTTGAGCCGGTTCTTTTGAATCAGACATATTGTCATTGGTGGTGGGTATTGAAGGATCTGTATTAGAATCTCTGTTATAATCCCTTTTTGATTTATCGTTGACGTTACCGTTTTCATTATTGTCGTTTTGAATATTTTTTTCATTTCCCTGGAAAAAAATTTATTTTATATAATATGTAAATTGAATGAAATGAAATGAAATAAATAATGATATATAAATACATAAAACTAATAAAGTACTTGCTTACCTCAGATACATTATCTTTATAGTTATCAATTCCATATTGTACTTTAAGTTTATTGATAGCATTCATTATATGCACTCGTTTACCAAACGAAGGAATATTCAGTTCCTTAAGATTTTCAGCGGTAAGATTGAGAAGGACATCACCAGTGATGTCATTTTCTAAACAAAATTAATGAAATTTATGATCAGTTTAAATTAGATGGATGACAATAAATGCATTGAATGATTTGAATATTAGGATGATTTTCTCACCAATGAAATTGTTTACTACAGCCTCAAAACCATGTTGACGCAGCCACACACAAACTTGATCAAGATTCCAAGTTAAAGGATTTGAATTATTGATATCGGTGTTAGTGTTATTAAAGTTGGCAAATGAAGGAGGCGGAGATGTTGCGAATTGTCTTGCGTCGATTGTATTTTCAAACTTGTGATGTGATATTTGATCATTTTTTAGCGAAGACATATAACTACTAGCACTCGATATAGAAGATGATGGTTTAAAATGTTTTCCACTATTACTAACTCCGTTTATCGAAGTGTTTCTTGAATGTGAATTGCTTTTTGATATTTCTTGATCTTTCACGGCCATATTATTTAATCGATCTTGTACATCATTAATGGTTTCATCGACAGAAGGACTTGGAGTTCTATATTCTGATGGAATGATGTTTAAATCAGAATTGGAAGTGAGCATGGCTATGGAATTATTGAAATTGTTATATGAAGATGGTATTGGACCAGGCCCATCATTATTTAAATTCTCTAATGGACTCATATTACTGGTATAATTCATTGGGAAAAGACCAATTTGACCTTTGACATTTTGGCCCTAGATAAAATTTTACAATAAATAAAATATCATTGATTGTTCAGCGCGTAAACAAAAAAAAAGATAGAAACATGTATAAATATGAGTTACCTGCCACCATCCATCCCCGTAAATATCATCCTTTTCTATGACTATTATTGGTTCTCCGTATTGAAAGGGAACTTCATCTTCATTAGTAGCTTCAAAAGTGTGAATCGCATAAACTATTTCCAAATCCATTATGTATTGATATTTATATTTGTTAATTAAGTTAAATTAAATAAAGTAATTTATCAAGTTGTCTAAACTTGAAATATAATTTATATTTAAAAAAAAAAAGGAAGTTTTAGATTTAACCAATAAAAGAATAATAAACGTTTTGTCACTGACAAAAGTATTAAACGAGGATGAAAAATGTTTTAAGTGTTAAATGGGAGGAAAAATATAATTTTTTCAATAAAAAAAGAATGGAATGATGGATTTTTAATATTATGTGTTGCGTGTGTAAACAAATAATAATAAATGTGAAATGTGGTGAATTATTTTTTCTTGCGAAAATGTGAAGTTGTGAAACAAAATCAAATGATAGCATAAGTTGGACCGTTACCATATATGGAAGTGAGTTTCTGTGTAACTTATGCATCTAAGTTCCAAATGTTTTTTATGTACTATTTAAAGAATATAATTCACTTGTCAACAAACATAAAACTCTTTCAAGATCTTCTTGCAAAATATGTTACTTTTAAAGATTGTTCCTGCAGAAGATAGATCTTCAAAAAAAAAAAACTCAAAAAATGAATTGTAACTCAAAAATTTTATTACGTACAAAGAGAAATTCAATTTTATCCAAGGTTTTTAAAAATTACTTCCCGTATATAGTAACTGGCCACTGTACTACAATCATAATAATTAAAATATTGTTTATATAGAAATTTTTTTAAATGCATTCATTTATAAAAAAGTTTAATAAACAAATTTATACTAACAACATAAGTAACAAACATTAACCAAAATTCATGTTACGCATAATTTAGTGTCGATCATTGACCTAAGTTTACTATAGAATAACTGACTAGAGGTGGCTTTGGAAATCTTTATACTGCAATCTGGGTAAGAAGACTTATTAAATTTATACAGAATTAATTGATTAATAAACAAAATTGATAAATTGCAATTTTTAAAAAATAATGATCTTTGTGGCCTGAAGCAGGAGACAATAAGTTTGTTTCTCCTTCCCATCCACATCAATGTTTCCATTACTACCGTTGTTATTAGAATTGATGACAAATGTATACAATTACAATTTGTAGAGTTTCTTGGAAAAACTCACAAAAAACGTAAGCGAATATTGAGCAGAAGCATCATCCTTTTCGCCTGTGCGAGTGCCTCTTTCGTTGCCATGATTGGTGTTGTTTTCAAAAAGACGAAAAAACTTGAACATAAGAGAAGTTTCAAAGTTTCAATTGACATTTTCAAAAAAAAAAAAAAAAGTAAATGAAGGCCGTATGCAATTTCCATCACATAATATTTTTCAGGAAGGATCATTAGATGATTGTGATATCTAATAATCTGAAATACAGAATAATTTTCTATTTTAATGTTAAAGGCTTTATCTCGTTGTTTCCATGTTTTGTTCCCTTCGAAAATTTAAAAATAAATGACAACTATTAACTATGCAAGTTATTTGCTTCATTTACCCAAGCTAAAACTTTATCTCTGTTTATTTTTTTACTTGATATATTTGATTGTAACCCTGCCTAAAGCTAGAAGAATAAATAATAAACCCCATTTTGTTACCTTTCATATTTATTTGATTTTCCACCCACCAAAAGGCTCTGTCTGTCTAATTATTTTTTTCTCGCACGATTTAAATCTGTGATGATGTTTCTGGACTTTTCCCTGCCAATCATTAAATTGACCAATAATAATGCATTTGTTTTGTTTTCAAAAAATAAATCTCTCTAGTATTAATAAGGTTACTTTATTTTTTTATCATGGAAAGCCACTATCGCTATTATTACTACTATATATATATATTATTATTCTAAATCAAGAGTTAAAAAGTAAAATCAAAATAAATACTAGTCTATTATTTTAGGAATAATAATTAATAATATTAATAATCTAATGATTTATTTAATCAAAACCTAGTTTTCAGCAGTTAACTATACTATATATACAAACAACTGAAAAAAATCGATTATAAGAATCGCCTAATTTGTTAATGTTCTACAAAAAAACTAACAAAAAAAGAAAAATAAATTCACCATTCTTGTTAAAATATATACTGGAGATTACTTGTCAATTCAAGCAACAAGCATCCCAATCGAGCAATTATTTTCGTTGTGTGGGATACTATTAGAAAAACAACTAGAGCCTGCTTGTGTCTAAAAAGTTGGATTAGTGGTGGGAATTAACATCGATTCGGAACTATTAGATGAATACAACATTTTTAAAAATTAAAAAACTCTATTCTAAAAAAAATAGAAATTAATGATTTCGGTCAGTAGTCAGTAGCAATCCACTTAATCAATCACGCTAAATATATGATTTATAAATATGTATGTGTGTGCATGATTATGAATAATAATAACGATTATGATAATAAATAATATATAAATACATCTCTTTGATTTCTCTAGCTCGAATAAAAGTTTGGATAATAAATAAGTCCCTTATTGATTGATCGCTTAATTGATAACAGATCATTATATAAGAAACTAGATTTATCTGTCAATTTTTGCTTACATTACCAGTTCTGCATGTCAAGGTTTTTGTAATTGTGTTTTATTTTACCCAGACGACTAATCTCCTTTCAAATACAGCATCATTACCATTCTGACGGCATCTTTTTTTTTACTTGAAAAAATCTCTTGATTTTGATTTGTTGGCAAATCCACAATAACAATAACAATGATTAATGGAATATTGTGTCCATGTATTTTTTCTAAAATCTCATAAGAATCAAGGATCTATGTTACAGGGATGCATGACGTTTATATTTTTGGTAATTCAAAGTTTGTTCACTCTAATGCTCTGTATCATATGATCATCATTACGAGACAACAATCTTGATGTCACTTTTCTATTTCTTTATCTTTCAAGTTTATCAAACATTTTGTTCTTAATATAAATTAGAAAAGCTCTCTCTTTTCTAACAATACTTACAATTGGAATCTGCCAATGAATACTTTTGCTAATCTTGGAAATTACTGGCTTGAATCAATACGTGTCCTTATTTCATTAAGCTCAAGATCTCTCTCTGTGGAATGTTAGATCCATTGTCAATGGGGTTCTTGATAAAGAATATATTGCTACATTTTCTAGCGATAAAAACTAAAATATTTATTCATTCTGCAAAAGATTTCATTGTAAACCAGGATGCTGTTTTTTTTTTTGATAAAAGAATTCCCCCTTGATCAAAATTCACGCGTTGTCAAATTGTATAGAAATTGCTTACTGCTTGTATTTGCAACAAATAAAACAAATGATAGTTGAGGGTAAATTAGTTGTTTCTCTTATTATTATACAGCTTTTCCGGTCAAGGAAATTTTTTTTAGGGAATACAAGATAGTTGAAATCCTCCATGTGACTTGGAAATTTTAATCAATTAATTAGTTATAAGCTTATAGTAACAATAGATAGTATTTACAAAATTTTATTTATTTATGAGAATGGCTTCACATATAAAAATTACGATGGAAACATTTCGTGGTAAATATATTAATATATTGCAATATTTTTTACCAAAATAATTTCATAGGTATAATCAACCAACACAACCGAAGATTACCCCTTGATATTCGCAAATGCAAGGTCATTCATTGTTCTTGTTGCATTAATGTTTTCTTTCTTTTGATAATAAAGTTAGTAAGTTATACACGATCCATTTTTAGTTTAAATTTGTTTATTTAAATAAAAAATTCTTGACGTGATGTGAAATGTTGCTGTATTGTTTGATGATCATTTTGACGAAGAGTCGACATAAAAAAAATTTGTTCGTTACAATGTTTCGTATTTCAATTTTGTTTCATCCTTTCCCAAAAATTCAGTTTACAAGAATTTCGTTACAATTTGTCATTTGCAGCCAGCAAGATTCCAATTAAAATAGATTGTAATTACATTTTATAAAAAACGGTTTGAAAGAGAATTAATTTCTTCTTTTTTTTTTTTAAAAAAAAAAAAAACAGAAAGTTGGTGAATTTTTAATGATTCACATAAATAAGTAAGATTTCAAAAAAAAAAATATATGCAAGACTAATAATAATTGTCAAGATTTTCCAAATCTTTATATCGGACAAAAAGTGTTCTATTCCGAAATTATAATTTTTTTTCACACCTTTATTAATAATTGTTAATTAAATAATTGCTAATAGTAATTGGTATTTGGTGAAACGTATGTATCAGGTCGAGAAACGAGTGGTCGAGGTTTACTACGCATTATTGCCTCCAAAACTGCATCAACTTCTTCATCAGAATTGATTACGGTGTCTTCTTCTTTTTCTTGAATTTCTGTCCTGCCATCTTTTTTGGCATTTTCTTGCTTACCGCCTGCTACGCCATTGTCTATTATTAATAAATATTATTATTATTTCGATTATTGTTATTAACGGCTATTACTTTTCACACACCAGTATAATGAATATTCTCATACTATATAAATAATCAATTTATAATCATAATTAAGACATACTCTGAGGACGACCAATTGACTTCTTCTGGTAACTGGCCAAAAGTTGATCGTATGGTGCTGATCTACCATTCACGGATCTTTTCAAATGCATAGAATGACTTTTACATGTTAATGAACGTGTACAAGGTGAATTAGAAGGTGGCATCAATACACCACATTGTTTGTCCAAATCAATAGGCCCTATCATTAAAAAAAAGAAAAAGGTTTTAATAATAATAAAAACTTGTGAAATTCTTGTAATAAAAATTCAATACCTTTATTACGTCCGGTGGATTTCTTTTTTGGCTGTTCTTTTTTAGTTTTTTGTTTTTTTGGTTCAGGTAATTTTGTTCCAGAAGAAGGTGATAATGATCGTTTATTTTGTTCTCCAACATCTCCTCCAGCTAAGATAAAAAAATTTATACAACAATAAGTAATTTGATTCATGACTTGTGATTTATTAGAATAAAGAATCTTAAAATACCATCACTTGCTGTTAATTTTTTCCGTTTCTTGTTTGTATTGGTGGTGGTAGTTTGTTCTTTATTTTTTGATATGGTTGTTGTCGTTGTTGTCGTTGTTGTTGTTGTTGTTGTTGACAGCTTTTCACAAATTACTAGTTTCATTTTTGATGTGTTTATAAATAAGGTGTGTATGTGTTGTAATATAACAAAACTTAAATTACTGATTGTCATTTAAATTACCAGTATGTTCCACAAATCCCTGTTTTAGAATTTTTTTGGAACAGCCTTTACACTCTACCAAACTTTGTTCATCTTCTATAGGGTTGCCACCATATATTTTCATCTGTAAGAAGGAACGTTAAGGAGTATAAACATTGTAAATAGAATATAGTAACTTTTATTTATGCTGGAAAAATGTGACATATTTAAAAATTAATAAAGGATATCATGATGGTTAAATCTAGAGGCAGTTGTAGATGTGTATTGATTGGTGGTGGTGGTGACTGAGTTCATGGGGAAAAATATGAGAGTAATAAATAGATTTGTCTTTTCATAAGCTACTAGAAAAGGTAAAAAAGCGTAGGTAAAAAAACTAAAAAATTTTGGAAAAAAAACTTTTTTACATTTTAATTTTTTAATTTGTTATTTACCATGTATATTTGGTAATATATATATATGAATACGTAATATTCGTGTAACAGCCTTTTTATTATGTGAAAAAATTAAATTAGCCAATCAAAATGAATTTCGCACTTACATATTTTTTATTTAATAAAGCAGATTATTTTATCCATTCATTTCAATTTAATTCTTCGAGTCTATTATAGTCGTAACACTTTTTTTAGGCATTTGATATTGGTTTGGGTAAACTCAAATTTCAATATTTGCAGTTTGCCCAAAGATTTAGCGCAACATAAACATAAACTTGTCCTATTTGTGTGTCAACATTATTTTCATTGTTGACCTTGGCACTAATGATTTCTTCTGTTCTCATCAGATAATCCACCAACTCGTACCTCTTGCAAAAAAGTTAAATCACTTTGTCGTCTAAAATTGGAAATAGTGAAATTACTCGAGAGCTTTTTGAGGTTTTTTCATGTTGATCGTGAAAAATCGATGGTGCTGTTGGACATTTTTTAATTTTAATAATTAATTAGTGATTTTTATGAATTGTTTTTTTTTCTAAAAAGGAAAAAACTGTTCAATTTATACAAAAATACCATTGTGTTATTAATCTTTTTATTTGCTCTATAAATAAATGAGCTTAAACCAGATTTAGATGATCTAGATCAATTTTTTATTTAAAGAAATAAAGTAAAAATAATTTGAAATATCAAACTGTTTGTAACTATTTTTGTGTCTGTAGACAAAAAATTTGTCCAAAGTAAAACTAGCATATTTTTTGGTGGCGACCGAAAATTTTCATATTATTCATATATGATTACTAATATGGTTCTTTAAAAATCATTTAAGAGAATGATGTACCTTTTTATACGATGAGTATAATTATATGGAGATTTGGCTCGATTAATATTAAAAATTAAACCTGATTTTGAATTTAACGAAATATTTAAACTAAATAAAATTACATCAGGGGGTTTTAGATTTTAATTTTTAATAGTTTTTAGAAATTAAAGGACTTGCTTGGGCTATAAATTTGATCATGTGTATTTAATCAAAATTTTCGGCGACCGATAGTTTTCAGGCACTGGCAGCTGGAATTAAATGCTGAGTTATGTTTTTTTTTCACCCAGTCCAGTTTTAAAAAAATATTATTGCTTATATAAACATTATTAATTATTAAGATGATAATAAAAAGCCAAATTGCCATTTCATTGGAATAAATATAATTAAAATTGCAATAAGGTCAATGAAAAATAGAATCAAGACAAAATAATATTGTCAGGTAATAATGGAATTGTGGCTGTAATAAGTTTGTGCAAACACTTTTTAACTGAGGTTTTAGCAGCTATCTAAAACTGCGGCTGTATACGCGACAACCTCTCTCGGCGATATTAAATGGTCCAGTTCAGTCCAAGATCGAACCGTCCTTTCTTTGGACGCTAGTCTCATAAAGACTTTTACTTGGACATGAGCTCTGTACAATATAATTTTATTTAAAATTACTTATTTATTTTAAAAAAAGAAGGAAATTGTAATTTATCTAGACATTCAAACCCAATCAACATTCTCATTATCGTTTAGAAAATTTAATCACATGATTTAAAATTGCGTATCGAAAAAATCAGCAATTTTTTGTAAAATTTCCGTATTAACTTCATCAGGAAGAATTTCTAGAAACGTGTAACGGAAATTGTCAAAAAAATTAAAAATTATTTTTGGGTTTATTTATTCCTCTATTTGTTTTGATTGCTTACTTACCTCTACCAAATATTACTAATGTTTCTTCTAATTTATCTATATTTACGTTGTCTATTCCTTCTTTTTTTATGATTTCTAATTAAAAAATTAAAAAATTTTTTTTTTAAAAATTTGATGAAAATTGAAATATTGAAAATTTTTTTTTTTTTTACCATATAAATGGTTTTTAATTTTTTCGTCCCATCCATCATCTTTAAGTTTTTTTAATAATAAATTTTTTAATCTAAAATTACATTTTTATTATTATTGACCTTTTTCTTTTATTAATTACATTTTTTATTAGGTAAAAAAAAAAAATTTAATCTTTTACCGGTTTTTATACATTGATTCAAAAAATTGATTTTTTAAATCTTTATTTATTTCATTATTGTCATCATTGTTGCTGTTGTTATTATTATTATTATTGTTGGTGATGGTTGTGGTGGTGGTGGTGGTGACGGTGGATGATGATGATGAATTTTGTGACATGATCAAATTCAGGAAAGAAAAAAAAAGAGGAGGAAAGAAAAAATGCAAAAATGTAGAAATATAAATAACATTAAATATTAATATTAATATATATATATATATGGGGCAGGCCAGACAAAGTGAAATTATTATTGTTATTATTATTTATTATTATGGCACAAAGATTTCAGGGGTAGTACCTGTTACACGTGACAGCTATAGCACAACCCCCTTTTATTTCACATTTATTGATATAGAATAATTGGAGTAATCAATCCAACTATGTAGGGTTAATTTTCTCTGTTCAGGCTTGTTTTTCACTTTGTTGATGGGACTTTATTTTAGATGGTAAACTGTTTTTTCTTAATTGCTTTTTAAATTTTTGCCCAATAATGGAACACTGCCTCCAAATTTAGATATTCATTATCCGTAATGTCGCGCAAATATCAGTTACACATTGACTATGAAAACCAATTTACAAGTAGAATATTGCATAATAAATCAATGATATTTTTATTATGATATCCATCCATGCATTCTCTTTACCTTTGATTGAGTGAATTATTTTTTTTTTTTGTTTACCTTTTCTACCCCAAGGTTTTGACCCAAATCACGTATATAAATAATCACTGCTTTAGTAAAAGCACTCGTTGATTGTATTTCTAGTTAATCTTTGACCATTTTTATTTTGAGATCAGCAAGGCTACTGATGTCTTCAAAAGCAAAAAGATTTGACACTTCTTAAAACAATGATTTCATGGTCCCCTTGTGTTTGAACCTTATAAAACATCACCAATTCATTTATTTTCGGTAAAAAAAAAAAAATCAAATTACAAACCCTTCAATAATCACGATTTTATTTGTTTAAAAAAACAAAATAAAACATATAATTGGTGAATGTTTTCATCAAAAAGAAAATGTTTACTTTCCTTTTGCAGGTTTTTATGTTAATTGAACTCTTTTTTGGTTTCTTGCCCCATCATAAAACTTACAAAAATCAACCATGTAATATTACAAGTCAAAAAATAGATCAAGTAATAGAGCCAAGAAGAAGCCAATTCAAAAATAAATAAATCAAACTTATTGGTAATAAAAATATTAACAAGAGATTGAAAATCTATGAATCCTGGTTTTTCATTAGTGAAGTGGCCATTGAAATTCGCAAGTTACATGAAGAGTTGCTGCTTCTACTCTTATGAAAAACTGATCCTAGAAGAAAAGCATTAGAAGCAATCCAACAGTGGATTGATAGGGAAAAGTAGTAAGAGGTGGAGAGTGAAGATGACGAAGATAATGAAAACAAAGAGGATACAAATATTAATAATAATATAATCAATAATAATAAAAAGGATTAATAACGTTTTTGTCAGTGTGTCCAAAGAATAGGTAATCAATTTTTTTAACTTGTACTTTTATGTTTAAATTCCAAGTCATGTGCTGAGAGTTGTAACTCGTTTGCTATTGGTCAAATTTAACAATTAATCAATCGTGTGATTTAATCAATAAAAAAAAATATTTTTAAAAATGGCAACAATGGAAGAAAAACTTACGTGAGTCGAGAACGAGTATGATAGTTGTAAAGGGAAGTTGCAAAGGTTTGACCTTTAAAGAAAAAGTTGAGGGAGGGGAATATAAATTAAGAAAGGAAAAATTTGGAAGAAGAGGTGAAGATAGTGAGATGTCATTAGTCCTCATATCCTATTTTATGCAGATCTTGTAATCTCAACAAAATATCAACCATATTTTGGATTAAGAAGGAGAAATAATTTTGGAAGAGAGGCTGAGATTTTAACATAGACCTTATAATCCCATCTACAACTAAGATGCAGTTTCATATACTAAAAATGTGAAAGAAGGTGATATGGGCTTCATGGGTGCTATCTTTTTTTATGCAAAAATTTAGTCCATGGAAAATATGGTGGATTGTTAGGTATTGTTTCTTGCCTTTCTTTATTCCAAATTAACCGTATTGTTATTTGTAGGAGCGCCTTAAAACGTAAGCGCGTGGATGCACATGTTGGAAATCTACCAACAATTAATTCTCATGGAAGAAAAACTGATAAAAGTGATCTAGACTTGGCAAAATATGAATTGACGAGTAAATTTGCATGATAGTAATGCATTTTGTGTTAGAAGCAATAATTGTTAAAAAAAAAAAGCCTGCAAACCTAATTTATCATCTAATTTTATCAAAATAATTCTCTTTTTAGATCCCAATTTATTAGCTTTGTGGAATTATTTTTAATAAGCCTGAAGATAAAGAATTTTTGGAATCATTTGGCTATTTTGGGAAACAATGGTGTTTTTGATAAAAAGAAATAATTGTTGTCTATGTGAAACTTTTCTACAAGAATCTCAGACTAGAAATATAAAATATCCTTCCCCAATTTACAAATTTTTTTAACAATATTATCAAGACTAGTCCACAAGCATATTGTTTGTTTCAAGAAAATCTTACAGGAAGATCGTTAAAAAATCCCAGAGCTTTTATATTATGAATATGATCACTCTAACAGACGAAAAGATTTTATTGATTATTTTGCATTATTTAAATATTTTAAATAAAATAAATAAATGTCATAGGGCATGAAGCTTTTTTGGGAATAAAAATAGTCATTCTCTCTTCCACAATTTCCCTTTGCTGTTTCTAAAATGGAAGATATGGAAAGGTTCTACTTGTTACATTTCAGCTTGAAAATATCTCATTATGTTGTTAGCTTTCAATACTAACGTTGTAGTAATTTTCTGTGAATTAGGGTCAAGTTGTTCTATAGCATTACAAAGGGGACATAGTACTTAGAGAGGGTAGTGGAACATGAGATTAAGGTCAAAAATGAATCTGAAGTGTTAAGGAAGCCAAATTCAATGGGAGGGTTACATATTGCTATGACTGTATTGTTCATTGTGAACAAAGTGATTGTTTCTACGTGATAGATGCATATGAGTTTTCACAGTACCATGGAAAGGCCATTTACAGTGACACGCTTCATATCTTTGATCCAAATGCTGTTGACTCATCATTCTAGTTTATTATTAAAACTAATAGTATTGAAATTAGTTTTTGATTAATGGAAAAAAGTCGGCGAAAATTCCTTAGTCAAATAATGATATTTTGAAAGAGGATAAATGAAGAGCAATAAGGTTGGAAATAACATGAACAAGAAAATATTAGATAGTTGAAAAGACTCATGTTAAATTATTTTCTTTACGTAACAAATTTCTTTCATAGTAAAGTGAACATGAAAATTCAGTGATTAAACATCTGGATTTTTGATGATAATATAGATAGTCACAGAGTTTCACTTTTAAAAAATAAAATTGTCTATGTAACAGAGCTTTAATCGTCAGATTTAATAGAACTACATTTTCCAACTTATGCCAGCGCAGTCTTTTGTGGAGAGTTCTTTGAAGACAAAAAACTGGAATGCAAAATCCAGAGCTTCCCCTTTAGGCCTTGGTGTCTGATTAACCGCTTTTTTTGTAAAAGAGTAATCAACAGTAAAGCAAAGCCGGGACTTGGTTGTTGGAAACAGTTTTCCATTTTTATATTATAAGAAAGGAATACGACTCATATACCCCCATATTTGTAGACCCAGAGTCAATTATGGTGGTTGAAGGACTTTTTACGATTAAGACCTCAAGATAATTCATATTTGGCTTCGTGCCCAATAGGGGCTTTCCAATAGAAAGGATCATCCATAATCTAAAAATAAAAGTTTGAAAATAGGGTCAAAATTTTATTATGCAAAGTGGGTATGATGTCTAATCCAAAAATATTCCAAGAATTGTATGTAGTAGTGGCATTAACTCAAATTGCTATTTTTACGTTATGATCCTTTTCTATTGAAAGGTCTCCTATATTATCAATCGTTTGATAAAAATCATCTATTTAAAAATGCGCGGGCAGTTTAATTATTTATACAGGATCTTACTGAAACAGCTTTATCACCAAGTCTTAATTATTAGTTATAACTTTATTTTCAAAAAATCAAGATGACAATAAAATGCTAGAGATAAGAAATCAATTGTAAATACAAAAAGAGCACACGCGATCACGAATTTAATGTCTTTGTGTCTTGAAAAGTGGAAGATCTGGTTCATGACCTTAGGTTTCTCAGGAAATAAAGCAAATGACTTGCCTCTCTTGTTATTGATCATTATTTTCCTGATTTAAAATATTTTTTCTGTAAAAATAAATTAATTTTTCTATTTTAATAATATTTTTTTGAAATACTAAAAAACATAAATATTAAAAGTTAAATTACAATCTATCTATGTATTGTTCCAAATAAATATTAATTAATAATCAATAAATAATAAATAAATCATGATACAATAAAAATGTTATAATTTGTATTTAAACATTTTTTATTCTCAACCTATTTTTTTTTTTTAAAAAAAAAAATTAGATCAGTAATAATATAATAATAAAATCATTTAAATATTTTATATTTTACCTATATGTCATCGTTAGATCCCCTGGAAGTTTCCATACATGCGTTTTTATAGTTGCAAGTGTCATCGTAGGTGGCAAAACCTAGGGGAAAATACAGGTTGATATTGAAATGAATTTTCTTAATTTTTCAAATTTCTGTCTAAATCAAACTTACTTGGTCTTGACATAACAATTCCAACCATGTCTCCGGTTTAAGAGAAATTTTTTTGTGTTCGTCTGATTCTTTATTATCATCATTGTCTGATTTTGAAAATGATCTTCTTGTTGGTGATAATTGATCAGCAATAATACTATTATCTGGTTGAGCAAGTACAAGTTTATCCACAATATATGCTAATATTTTACGAACCCGAAGCATACGATTGGCTGATAATCGTGAATTGCTAAATTAACATGTAAATAAATTATAGCTACTTTAATCCCACTACAATTAAAAATTCATTTGGTCAAACTTTAATAATACTTACCCATTAGGTAATTCATCCAGTGAAGAGTCTTCATGAGGTTTAAGAACAAAACTAACTTTTACTGAATCTTTTGGCGGTGTTTTGTTCTATATATGTATAAATATATAAATAAATTTATATTTGCGTTTATATTTATTAATAAATTAATAAATTAATAAATAAATGAAGAAGTATATATATTATTATCACACTTTTATTAAAAATTCCAAAAGCCAAATGGGAGCTTTCTGTTCAATCATTTCTGCATCATTTGACATTGACGCGATTGTTCCACGATATAAATCGACATTTGTTGAAGCTTCAGGCGAATCCTCTGATATAATCACAGTGGTATGAGATGGTATTTCAATTTGAGGTATTTCATTTGTGGGGAATTCTGCAAAAGGTGGTTGTATAATATGATGCATTTGACGAAATGTAAAATCAATACTTTTTGCAAAGTCTTGTGTCACTGAACTTGTTAAACTCTTTAATTGATTTATTTGAGAAGTGGTTTTAGTTGGAGAATTAAGCTAATATTTAATATTTGTGCATATAAATATATAGTTGTAAAATCTATGAATTTATAAAGATATAAAATAAAAAAATAATACGGTTATTATAAATTTTTAGTCTTACATTTAAATCATCATTTCTTTCGAGAGTTTGATTGTTTTCGTCTTGAGTTTGTACTGATAATTTCGCATCATTGGATTTTACAGCAGAAGAACTGTTACTATAATTACTACTACTACCATTGTTATTATCATCGTCATTATCATTATTATCCGATTTTGGTTGTTCATGATGTGATTTGTTCGTCTTACTTCGCATATTAATAGGAAGTTTTATGAACCGATCAATAAAGGATCCGCTGGTATTTGTTGTTGAAGAAGGAATCAAGACAGGTGGTGGAGGTTGTATGATTTGAGTCGTTAGCATTGATCCCAAAATGGATTCTGTAGCGGTGGCAGGGGCAGTGTTAGAAGAGGGGGAAGAGGAACTGAGTGGTGGAGTAAGAGCTCTAGTTTCAGTTTTTGGACTGGTAGGAGAATTATGATGTGAATTGGAAAAATAATCCGGTTGTTGAGTGCCAGTTGTCACTGGTGCACTAAATGGACCGGTAGTAGTAATTGCAGCCAATGGAGCAGTTGGGGTTTGATGAACTAATGATTCCAATATTGTTTTTTATATAAATAAATATCTGTGTATTAGATGACTGAACTAATAATAATGTTTTAGGAGGAAAATTATGTATATATATGTGTGTTGTACGTCAAATTCAAATTCGGGTTAATTTTTAATCGACATGTGTTAAATTCAATTAGCCAATTGGAATTTCGATTTTGACTCACAACACACAAATATATATATATACATTATTTATTTTTTTTGATAAAAATAATGCACAACCTGATAATGACGTAGCTTCATTTGTTTGACCTGAAATGGTTAAGGAGGTTTTTTGTTGATCTCCAGGTTGTTGCCTTTGATTCTGTTGTTGTTGCAGTATTGTCTTATAAGTTTGCGTCTCTTCATAAGTTTTAATTTCAGCTTCAGTAAATTTGGCAAAAAGATTTTTTAAAACCCATTTACCAAGATTTACTTTAAACAATTTTTTTTGGAATAAAAAACAAAATATATTAGTAATTTAAATAGATTAGTGTTGTTTTTGTTATTATTGTTGATATTGTTAACATACGTCTTTGATCTTCACGAATTTCTACATCCTCGGGTAATCCAGCTTCATCAGCATACATTTCTGCATCAAAACAATTCGTTTCGTCTAAATTCACAGTTAATGCCTAGACATTTGAGAATGTAATTAAATATAATATAATACAATACATGATAATGACATGAATAACAATTTTTCTTTTTAGCATACCCCTATATAAGTATCTATCGAACACCAATTTGATATAGATTCAATAGTATTGATTTCTTGTGCGACTTCTTTAATATCACGACGTTTTCCAAAATTATTTACTCTAACACACTACACATAAATGCATAAATATAAATATATGTAGTTCAATAAACGAAAAACTTTTAAGGTTGACTATAAAATACCTTAATAATATCCCATAATGCAACTTCTTCAGAATTATCTTGTGTCAGAACATGTCTTCTGTTATTTAATATAACATGTTTAACTAATCCATGTTGTCCTAAATAAATAAATATTCATTTTAAAAGAAAATTTTTGCGAAATATGTATTATTATTATTGTTGTTGTTGTTTTTGTTGTTGTTATTAATTATCATTATTGTTATTAACCTTCTATTATATGATCAGGGGTATCTCTAATTGGAATTGCGTCTTCAATGTTCATATTATCAAACAAAGCATCATCATTTACAGAGTATAATGTAGAAACTTCAGAGTCTGGTGGCGCTAATACTCCAAATGAAGCACTTGAAGGTGCAATTTTAACGATAGAATCTGGTGGTATTGTAACAGTAGGTGATGATAATGAAATTGACGGAGTTGTGACTTGTTGTGATGATGGTGATGATGGTGATGATGGTAATGACTGTGAAATTGTTTGGACTATAGGATGACTTTTACTACCACGATTTATTTTCACATCTTCCTAATTAATGAAAAAAAAAGATGGATTTATATATAAATGTGTGTGGTGGGAGAAAGGATTTGAATTAAAATTGAATCACGAAAGAATTATTCTAATAATATCACAAACCCAACGTTTAATACTAGAATCATAAGTTGCGGTCCAAATATATTTATTATCAAGAGCTACAAGCTGTAAACGTAACAATTATGAATTAAATTATTCAAGTATTTATAATCATATTTTGTTAATATAATAAAATGAATAAATGACCTTCATAACTCCATGTGATTCTTTACAAATAGCTACACAATCACCATCCCTAATTTCAGCACTGCCACTATGATCAATTTTTGTCACCAGTCCATCTTTACTTCCGGCATAAAAAGTTCTTAGTCTTGGATGATCAGAGTATAATGACCAAACAGAATCCGAATGAATGTCAAATGTATATAAACAACGTTGGGCAGTTAATGACCATAACTTTATAGTAGTATCTGATGACCCCGATAAAATCTATGTAAATATATAAATATATAAATAAATAAATACTTTTTTTTAAATTATTGAAAAACTTTGGTACACTGTTATGCGACACTTTTTTTTCAAGAAATACCAAGGTAAAATACCCAAACAATAACTCACTAACTCTCCATCATCGCTAACCAAAACAGTTCTAACATTGTCAGTATGACCAGTGAACTTGGTGATTCCTTTTCCAGATCTTGGATCCCATAATCGAACAATCTATATATAACAAATGATTAAATATCATTAACATTATAATGATAATTATGTTGATAATTATCTTTTCTACCTTTTCAGGGGATCCTGATGCAAGAATTGATCCAGATGGATTACATGCAAGTGCGTAAATTGAACATTTTGGTGAATTCTCTGATATTGTTGCTATATATACAATATAATTAATTAATTAATTAATCACAATTTATTATTGTTATTATTATCTCTTTCTCTCTAAAATGAAGAAAGCCGAATATCGGTATAAAATTCTGCTCACCAAAATTTATACAAGTTATTCCAGAACTTGCTGGCCTGCACTCCCTTATATCCCATAAATCAATTTTTCTATCAAAACCACCACTTGCAACCCATCCAGGTCCAGAAGCATACGCTAATGATTTAATATAATCTGTATGATAACCTATTGTAATTGGATTTGATGATTTATGAGGATGCCAAAGTTTCAAAGTTCTATCAGATGAAGCGGATATTACTATTTATATAGTTATAGAAAGAACAGTTATAAATAAAATAATTTTTTTGAAAGATTTTGCTTTACAATCACTAAACAAAATTCGTCTATATTACATGTTTCATTATTATGACATAATACTATATCATTCACCCAATTTGTATGACCTTTAAATGATTGACGAAAAGTTGATTTTGGTGAAGGTTGCTATATAAATAAATACGAGAGATTTTAAATTGTAAGAATAAAAAACCATTTTTGTTATAAAATTATTATAGATATAAATGTATAAACCTCTAAGCAAATCTCTTCATCAAATTCCCAATTATGTTTAAAATTGTTGTTATTTTTTAATTTATTTAAAGGTAAATTATCATCATTATTATCTATGTTGTTATTAATTAGTCCATCATTAATATCACTATTGTTAACTTTTGCGAAATCTTCTTCATCTACAAAAATTTCATTATCACCACCACCATCAAGATGTGAGAATGATTCTCCGTTGACGTAAATTTTGCTTTTTTGTTTAAAAGGAAAATTTAAATCCCAAGAATTAATAACACCATCACGGCCAGCTGTATACAAGATTCCTTCCGGCTTCCCGGTCCTTTCATTGATTGTTGTTGCATCTAATGCTAAAGAATTTATACCTAATAAATGACCATGATCGTCTTTACTATGTGTTACAACATATGAAACTTTACGTTTAGTACGTCTCATTTGATTGAATATTGCTTTTAAGTGTTGATTGGAATTTTATTATTATCTCTCTTTTACTTTATGATGAAAATTAATAAAGTTTTCAATGAAATAAGTGTGTTATATATATTTATGTATGAATGTCTACATATGTATTAATGGTTTATTTAATGATCATGAAAAAAAAAAAAATAAATATCAGGTTTTTTTTAATATTAAGACTTAATTGTTGATCAACGAATACTAGTACTAGTAAAAACGAATAAAAAAATTAGTGATGTTAGCCGGCTAATAATCTGCATACTTAATTTCTAAATTTGGTAATAGATTTCCGCGTTACCTTCTTGTTATAGAAATAAATTACCAATTTAGGTAGTAAACGGCTTAGCGGCTAAGGATTTTTAAACGGCTAACATCACTAAAAAAAAAAATAACATTTTTTACAATAAATTTTTTTCATTATTATAAAACTAGTTAATAAAAAAATTATAAATTATATTATATATTCTGACAATGATGACTTCATGCCCCATCTAAACTTCTTTGAACAACCTTTCTCCACTTTCTTCATTAGTAATTGGGAGAAAAGATTGTGTGACAATTCATCTAAAGATTTCCAGCTAAGGTTGTGGGTGAAACTCCTCCAGAAAATCAATTGACAGAGTTTCGCATTTGGGGGTTTTGTCAAGCATCAGAGTTTTGACAGTCACTAAGAGGTTTTTGGCAAGCAACCTTATTTCCAGTAATGCCAGCAGCAATAAAAATTATGATTCAACTGGCACCTAAAAAGATGATAATAATGTCAGGTAATGTGACATTCATTGAATAGTGGATGCACAGAATAAACAATATTAACTTACTTTTATTGCCATTTCAATTGTTTTCAAATTCATTTTTGCTTTTAGATTCGGTTGTTTGAAATTTGAAGCTTTTAAATTTTTTATGTCCACTCTAATTATTTTCTTCAGATAAGAAAGGTTAATTTAGCAATTTGAAAATTCAGATGATAGATCAGTAATAATAGTAAACAACATACCAACAAATTGCTAATTTCATATATTGTGCATTCAACTGAGATGTGAAACTAGCTCACATTCACTTATCATAAACATTCAATAATTTTTATTAAATTTTAAATCCATTACATATAAATGTAATATATAGCCTGCAAATCCAGTACTATTATATTAGATCATGCTTTAAAAAAGAAAAAAAAATTTTCAACCAAAAACATGTATACCATATGTACGAACATTTGAATCAATTTGTAGATCACAGTGCATATGGTTGATGGAATCTTTCATCATAATTCCAATCAGGGTTGGCAAATGTGTGGTCCATTGAGAACTGATGGACTTTGGACTGGTCCATTGCCATTAATAGAAACTAAATACAGTTAAAATGTTACACTAATGGATCCAATGGATCACCAATAGACCACCAATGGACTACACATTTGCCAACTCTGATTCCAATATCCACCAGATCTACATTGATTAATTTTGAATTTGCCGAATGTGTTGGCTTAAATAAACCAAATACAATTCCATACTGGCTATTTTGAAGCCTGGTTTTTTCAGTGAACTTGCAGATAACATTGAGGAATTGAGGGAGAAGTTAGGTGAGTATGGAATTGAGATGAGGTAGTTTTTTGAGGCTTTTTATTCACCCCTGTGAAAAAAATTATTAAGATAATGTGTAGAAAAATAAGAAAGGTAAAATCTTCATTATTTAAAAGTTACCAATCAATGATCCATCCTGGTTCATCTAGCCTTGTTGTTGTCTTGAATATTATATTTTCATAATGATAATAAATCTCTCTCTAACAACAAATTCATACTAATCTTGTGTATAATTATTTCTGATATTTTATATTTGTTTCTATTAATTTTATATTTTATATTTCTTTTAGTGAGGTAATATTTAATGAATGTTATATAGTAGTTTTTGGAAACATACCTGACTTGAGTAGGAAGTAACAGCTAAGGAAGGCACCCACCCACCAAGAGACATGATCAGGTTAGCATAAGGAAGGAGAGAATGACTGTAACATTTTAGATAAAGTCAAAAGTTTATTTTCATTGTTAACAGATCAATAAATTACTTTGTTTTTGCATAGAATATATATGCATGACTATTTGATATTATATTATTTGATTAATTAATTAATCACCTTTACTCACAACAACTCCTTTAATTATTTTTCTGATTCATTAGTATCATTTTGTAAATTCTTATTTTTGTTTATGAATTATTTTGTTTATTAATATATTGAGAGATGGACAACCAAATTGTCCCAATTAGTGTTGATCAATCAGAACAAAATTATGACAGTTATGTGATGTGCTAAATATTGGGAACAAACCAAGGGAATTATTCTGATTTTTCTATATATCAATATGTTATTTCCATTTAAAATACTTAGTATTAGTAATCATTAATTAGTGAGCAAGAAATACAAAATTATTAATCAATAAGCATATTTTATTAGACCAAATATTGTAAAAGTCATGTTATTTGTAATACCCTAAGAGGTATAAATACACTTGGTTTTAGAAGGACCCTGCGAACTTCATATAGTTGGTTCAGTCTAAAGACCTCCTAAATTTTGGGCAAATTTTAAAAGTATAGAAGTCATTTATGTCCTACCTTTTAAAAAAATAGCTCTATTAGTTGATAAAATATGTCTTTAGTTTAATGTAATAGAGAGATTTTCTCAAAAAAATTTGTAGAGTTCTATTCTTTTTTAAAACATGTGCTTGTGAGGAATTTGTCCACTATGATCATCACTAAATTTAGGAAAAATCATTATAAATTTAGACTAGCTCTTGACTATCGTATCTAAATTTGGCAATAAGAATCGCATAATAGTTTAATATATTGTAGGTAGTGAGTAAATGATACATTCATTGATTATATCAAACATCAAATTTCATTCAACATATTATTTTATGTGATGGGTGGGATATGCTGTTTCTCTCAAATTAGTCATTTTGATATGGGATATTTGTACCATATGTGTACTTTATTATATATTTTTTTCATTGCAATTATTATTATAGCAAAAGTTCCCACATTAATGTTTTTGCTGAATTATTTATTACCAATTACAAATAAAATTATTGTTAAGAATCTATCTATCTATTTTTTATATTATTTATTGTCTTGGAAGTAATAAATAAAAACGATCGGCATATTATAAATTATCAACCAATCACAGAGAAAGCCCGCTATGTTGAATGACACTTGATCTGCAATGTCCCGCGACTAATAACAATAAGAATTTCTTAATTGGGACAGTAGTTTTTGCACTGATGTCATCATCCTTGGCAGCGTCATTATTGGGTCATCATTTCTATTCTTTATTGGATTAATATTAATATTAGTCTTTATAAATATATAGTAGTGATTTCCAAGGAGTTCATTATAAATAAAGGCAATTTTGTTTTTTGTTGTTTAGATTACATTTTTCTGGCCAACGAACAAAAAACATGGCAGAATATTCAACGTATGATATTTTTTCAATGATTTTTGCATTTTTCTTACCACCAGTTGGTGTATTTATGAAAAGAGGTTTAGCGGCTGATTTTTGGTAAATCTGGATTTTTTATTTTGTGGGTATTCTTTAGTGAGATAAATTGTTGGTAACATTTTATTTTATTATTAATTTTTTAGGATTAATATTGGTTTGACTATCCTTGGTAAGATTTAATAAATAAATAATTGACATAATTTTCCTTTAAATTATTAAAAAATAATTTTTTTTCTCTTCAAAAAATCAAATAGGATTTTTACCGGGTAAAAAATATTAATTAATTCTAGTTTGGTTATTTAATTGATTATCTTTATATATTAAACATATTGATCTAATTTTTTTTATAGGTGTAATTCATGCATTCTATGTCATATATCATTTTCGTCATGATACCGTACCGTAAAACTATTATTAAACGAGAGAGAATATAAACACAAGAATTAGTTGTTATATGATATTTTATATGCATATACATATATACATTATATATGTTCTAATTATATTTAATAAAATAAAATAAAATAATTATTATTTGCTTTATTTAACAATTGACTTTTTTTTGGTGATTAATTGACAGTTGAAAAACATCTCGACTAATTCTAAAAAAAAATAATAACTAGTCGCTACCGTAAGGAATCTTGGGAATTTAGAAGAGGATAAACTTCACATTTTTACTATTTGGTTTGGTATAAATGCAGCAAACACATTGTAGGAAATAATAAACAGTCGTTATTTTTTATATAGTAATAGTGATTGTATTCTGAATTTCCATCTTATTTATATCATTAGTTGCTATTACATTCTTTTTCCACCAATTATTTCTAATCTTTCGTATGAATTTTAAATCTTGCTTTCTTCTTTTCTTTCTATTTAATTGAGTTAACCATCTGCCATTTTAACATTTTTAACGTTAGAAACCCACCAAATTTGGTAAATGAAGTTCACACACATTTAATATTCGTTTTGTACCAGCAAGCCATTCCATTGAATTGAAATACGTGATTCTATTTGTAATTAATTTTGTTTTTGTTTTAGTACTTTTGCAAAAGAACCCATTGGTGATGTTTCTTTATGCTTCGACACAAGATCGAGTTCTTTTCCAGGCACAGATCAGGTTCAAGAAACATAGTTTAATGAATGAAATACCTTTAGACCAAAATATTTTACTAAATATGATTGTAGGATTTTTTCTCCTTTGTGTGTTAATTTCAGGTTTTGTCTTTTAATGAACAAGATTTTTCATACTTAAAAGTGAGTTTCGAATTCAAAGGAGAACAGCAGCAGTTTTTCGCATTCTTTTTGACATCAGGTGGTTTTTTTTTGCATTCTTCCAACTGAGCTCTCACAAGTTGATCCATTTACTCAATTCTCTTTTTCTCGGTGTTTCTCATTCTGATTCGATGGCAGTGTTAATATTTTCATTGATATAATAGCAAAAAAATGATTTTATAATTGACTATACAAGCTTTTGTGACAAAGTTTGACATTTTCTAAATTATATTTCACATTAACAAGATTATATTATTGTTAAAAATGCATATTGACACTGATATGTCATGTATCGCCAAGTAACCTTTTGATAGGACATTTTAACCGTGTGTTACTGCAACTAATTTTTGTCCACGGCGGATTTTTTTTTAATTTTTTATTCAGTTCATGATATTGTTGTGCGTGAAAATGAAATTTATGTGAATTTGCAATTCACATACGTGAAATTCAAATTAGTCAAACACCCCACCCACCCCAAAATTTCAATTATAAATTTCGATTTCACAGTTTCAATTTCACACACAACAATATCAAAGGCTGTGCATAAACCTTTTAAATATATAACATGCATCATGAATGCCTATTTCCCATAAATTATTACGAGAAGAGCCTGTCAATGAATTTTTGCATGAACTATTTTGATCTTACCCACCAATCTCTTAATTAAAAATTATTGCTAATGGAAGAACATTTTCTATTTAATATTAATGCTATATTGATTGAATTTATTGATTGATACAACTTGGCAACCATTTTCAATGGCAAGAATGAAAGTTGTGTGAGTTGTTAAATAGTCACGTGCCATCTTTGATAAATTTGATTGTCTTGGTAGTGGTTGTGATGTGAAAAATATCGATTAAAAGCAATGCCAAATATATACTGCCATTTTTAACGGATTTCACATATTTCTTTCTGGTCTCTTTAAATATTGAGGATAGGTAATGCAAAAAAAAAAAAATCTTTCAAAAAGAAGATGTATGCATCATTAGGTAATTGGTCGAATTTGGTAAAATTAATTTTGATATTTAAACTAGAACTAGAGCTTGAACTAGTGGTTTGGAAACATTGCTCCGATAACGCTTGTTCTTTTCTGGTTGATTTTTGGCTTCTCTTTTTTTTAAAAAAATTAATACGGAACATACGTTAGTTAGTTAAATAGTAATGAATGGAGTAATTTAGTTGATAGCCATGCTTTATCACTCAATAGAAATAACGTAGGTCCCCATATTGATACTATAATTATTTCAAGATGGTAAAGTCAGCATTCACTTGAGTTGAGTGGGATATGTGCCAATTTTATAAAGCTCGGAACGGTTCGGCTCGAAAGGCTAGAAACTATTTGGCAGTCTAATTTTTTGCACTCTGTTTATTTAGGATTAAATTTATTATAGCAACCAGTGTCCTGGTTGGACGTGTTTTTCCTGGAGGCTTAGACTTAATTACTCAAAGGCATTATGGTTTAAAACCTGAAACAATAAGGTGTTTAAAAAGTTTGCGGAGACGGTGAATTTTATATATGAATTGAAAAAAAATATAACGTTTTAAGGTTTCTATTCGAATAAGTTTTATTCAAATTATTTGTTTTATTCATTATTATTATGAATTTGAATATTCGAATTACATTGAAAGTTTAGTCGAATAAACGAATAAAACGAATAAAGCGAGAATGGAACGAATAAAGCAAATAAATCGAATATATAAACGAATAAATCGAATTAATATCAATATTAATAATATTGAGCTGTATTATGAATAATTTGAATAAGAATTTTTATTACGAATAGAAACTCCAACAACTGTGTGCAAATTTTTATGGTAATGATGTTAGCCGGCTAAGAAATTTATCGGCTTGCACGACTTAGTCGGCTAAAAAAAATTTACGTCTGGAATTTTAGGGCAGAATTCAGTGGCACAGACATTTAGTTGAGATGATGGGTCCACCTACATTACTTAGAATGACAAAAAATCATACATTTGCTCAAAAATCAAAATACAATACATCGTAGCAGGATAAAAGCCATAATTAGAGGTTCCAATTCTTAATTTAATTCGAATCATTATTATTCATTCTATCCAAATTATTTGTTCTATTCGAATTATTTGTTCTATTCAATTTATTCATTTTATTCGTTTATTTGAATAAACTTTCAAGGTAATTCGAACACTCAAACCTTATTCGAACCATTAAAGGCGAGATATTATAATAACAATAGTGAAATAATAGTAATAATAATTATAGTAATAATAACGATAGTAATATTTTAAAAAAAATACTGGCAAGCTTATTACATCTGAAAAGACTTTTCGTCAACTGGGATTTATTTAAGTTCTTAGCAGGCCAAGAGTTGTACGGCCTAGCCGGCTAAGATTTTTCTAGCGGCTAACATCACTACCATGAATATGTAACGATCAGACCTATAATGGATAAATTCAATCATGATCTCGTTCTGATTTTGATGAGAAATGAGCCTTTGCCCTACAAAAAGTTTAGATACTTAAATAAAAAAAAAAAAGATCCACTAATTACTTGCAAAATATGTATGAATATACTTTTTTTACAATTAAAACATTCTTATTTTTACAATAATAGAAATGGTGATATACATTTAAAATATACCTCTGAATTTTAATAATTCTTAAAACGTACTTATTTTCTTGATTTTGTAATTTACTTTATATATCTTTAAAACATACTTGAATTTGAAATACAACTAATAAAATTATTCTTTTTGCATCCAAAGAATTGACCAATCCAATTTCATTTCTGACCGATAAATGAATGTAGATGACTAAATAACCAACGATTTATTTGATCAATTACACAACAAGTGTATTAGCATCAAACAAGGTGATGAAGACCAATATGTAAAATCCTATTATAAAATTCTGGGCATTCTGATAAAATTTTAGAATGTCCAATAAAAATTTTGGAAATAGACCATTTTCCAGTTGCACATTTTTTTATTTGAATTATTAGTTAGTTTTATTTGAATTGTCCATTTTATTCGTTCAATTCGTTCAATTCGTTCAATTCGTTTTATTCGTTTATTCGAATTATTAATTCTATTCGTTCAATTCGTTCAATTAGTTCAATTCGTTTTATTCGCTTGATATAACAAATTCTATATTAATATTAACCATTTGTAAAATTATAAACAAGGCTTGTTTCCTTTAACAAGATTAACAAGATATATAAATTACAATAATTATATTTATACACAGTGAATCTCGGTTTAGCGGATAGTTTGGGTAATTAGGGAAAATTTTTCAAAAATCCGTTAAACCGAGATATCCACTATATCGAGAAGGTTTTTATTAAGGTCTAATATGGAACCGTTATTTGAACTTTATCCGTAAAACCAAGATTTTTAATTAGTATCCGCTAAATCGAGATTCATGTGTAATCTATATTACTACTGCTATAGCTACTAGACTTAAGAAAATGTCAATTGTTACTATTTATTATTATCATCAATATATAAAAGGGACTATGAAGGAAATTATTTTATTAATGATGTTAAAAAAATTTTTTTAGTCCGATAAATTTCCCCCATTGATCTGCAGGATACGTCACACAACCAAATTTTTTTTTGTTTATATAGTTGGCTCGGGTCCTACCTTTTTAAAAAATAGCTCTATTAGTAAATCAGACAATCAATTTTGTTTTAAAAAAAGATGATATTGAAAAAGATTATGTTTCAAAAGAATCAAATAAAATTGAAAATTCTTTTTTATTTTTAAAAAATAATAATTTTGATTTACTTGACCATCCAGAGGTTCTTCGAGTAGTATTGTTTATCAGAAAAAGAAAAGAATACTTGTATTCAAAAATTCGTCAACATGTTAGTGAACCATATAAAGATGTTTAATAAATAAAAAAATTTTTTTTGTTAAAATTAAATGTCAAGCATTTCCAAAATTTGATCACTATGAAAACTAAGAAGACTAGATTGTACAAGGTTATACACAGACAGGCTCGATAAGTCAGCCGCATAATTTATACTATTGAGTACTTTAAACAATTGATTACTGCGGGCTGACTTATCGAGTCTGTCTGTGTATATAAGTGGAAACACAGAGATTTGAGAAGAAATTAATTTTGAGCACAAAATTTTTGTGCAACTTACTGCTACATAAATAAAAATAAAAATAAAAGTTATTCGAATCATATTTCGCAACCCATATTAATATATTTATCCAAATAGCTGGCCAATCAGCAACTATATATAGAAAACTTGATATATTCTTCTCTTAAATGTTCGTTTTTGTTAGCAGAAATATTGATTTTAATCTTAAAGATAAATTGAAAATAAAATTATCGGTTAATCAGGGTATTTTTTATGTGCGAGTCATGTTTATTCATTATTCAGTCAAGTCAGTCAATGGTTAAATCAAATAAAACTTTTGGTGTATATTTAATTATAATAATATGTATAATATATTGTATTGTGTGTGTGTGTATATATATATTTATAGATGCAGATGAAAATAAAATATTCTACAAAAAAAGAAATGAAAAATGAAAAATGAAATTGAAAAAATACAAAGAAATATTATATAATACATATTAATTATTATTATAATATATATTATAATAATGCCTATTTAATTCTTAAAAAGTACTTAAAAAAAAATGTTTTTCAAATTGTTTTTTTAGATTATTTTCTTTTTAAATTGTTTTTTTTTTTTTTGTTGAAATTATATTTTCTTTTTGTTGAAATTATATTTTCTTTTCTTTTTTTACTGTTAATAAAACAGTTAAATATTTTCTTGCATCTTCTAAAGTTTCAGAAGGTGATTTATCTTTATTTGTTATTCTATTGTATTTTTTAAGCTTTGGACGATCTTCGTCAATCCTTAAATTTGAATCTCTTATTGGTAATCTATGATGTGATAGAGAAGGTTATAAGTTATATAATTAGCATGAGAATAATAAAAAATAAAAAATTTATAAGTTTGAAAGAATTTTTAATTACTTACAATGAATCAAAAAGTAAGTCACCACCAAACGATATTATACTTAATTCTTCGGTGTCATTATTTTCAATTTTCTTTAATAAATATTCTTCTGACTCTGTATTAATCCAACCATATAATTGATCCCCTGCTCTATAAGCTGCTGTTGAACTAATCATTTTATTCTAAAAAATAAGAAGCGGGAAAATAATGTTAATTTAATTTAAGATTTAACACGTAGAGTTAATAAATAAACGATAAAAAAGTGATGATAATTACCGATAAATTAAATTTAGTCTTTTGTTTTTTTGATTTATTTTTACTGTTGTCGTTGACGTATCTTTCACTTGGCAAATAATCGACCGTTGATAACCAATCATCCGATCTATTTGGACCAAGTTGTGAAGGAATAAAAGGTTTATGACGTAACTCCGGTATAGAAGAGTTATGTTTTTCTAGAAGAATAGAATGGAAAAGAAGAAATGGAAATTTAGAATAAATAGAACAAATAGAATGAATAGAATAAATAGAATAATAAGTATAAACAATCACCTATTTTCTTTAAGGCTAGTTCAGAAGTAGATATTACAGGAGGTTGTATTAATTTTTTATAAACTTTATCAAGATTTATTGAAAGTTCCAATGGAAAGAAGTCTGAACGGATTGTAGCAGTTATTGTTGTTGTCGAAGAATTGTTATTGTAATTATGGTTGTTGTTATAGTTATTGTTGTTATAGTTGTTGTTGTAATCGATGCTTACATTACTTGGTTCAAGATAACTATTATTTAATAAGGAAAAAAAGGGAGGAAAATTTTTTTTAATAAATTTATTTTTGGAAATAATAATATTAACAATATTTAGAATTAAATATAATTATTTACTTTAAAGCGGTTGCGTTCCTTAGTAAGAAATCACCAGCACTGAATGAAGAAATAGTAGTATGGTCGATTGTCATTTTAATTAATTTTTATTTTTGTTTTTATTTTTGTTTTTATTTTTTAATTAAAAATTATTATTTAATTTTTTAATTTTTTGAATAAATAAAATTTTAGTTCCTGAATTCAAGGAGTTTATATACAAATTTTAAATTTTAAAAAAATCGGGTTTTACAATGAACTCTAAACTGTTAATTGTTTTGTAATTATTTAATGATGTCTTATTTATTATTAATCAGTATAAAAAAAAAATTTGCTTTAATTGGTAAGAAAAAATAAGATACTTATTTGTGAAATAATAAGATCATCTTCACCATAACTGTCAACTAATTAGTTCAGGGACTACAATCATAGTTCACGCACAGTAACTAAGCCACATAACACATTTTTTATATCGGATGTTGAAAGTATTTTATTATTTTTTGTGGGGTATATTAATATAAGGCGTTTTTTTTAATAGAACTATCATAACACGATTGTAATAATCAATTTCCATTTGTCGAGTTTATTTGTTGTACGAATATTGCATTATACTATCAGACATTTCTATTTCACCAATAAATGTTGTGTTGGGTTCGAAACAAGTAATTACTATTATAATAATTATTATTATGTTCCCACGATCGCTATTAATTTAACCCTTTTAAATATTTAATAAAGCAATTTTTTTATTATAATTAATTATTACGAAAAGGTACGTTAGGATTTTAAAAAATCAAGAATTGATTTCATCATATTGTTTTATCCCAATTGTGATGATCATGTGCGTTATGCACTGCACTGCATTTTTTTTTTATTATTCAATTATTACTTTCCCAAATTAATTTTGCTGCAAAAAAAAAATAAAATATATATTTAAAAAATCCTTTTTTTTTTTTTTTCAAAAAAAAAAAGATAATTCACCAACTTTCGTAATTGTATTAATTACAACCGGCTACATAACAATCATAAATTAACCGCCACCAATTTATTCCAACAATTAATTAATTTAACAAACAAAAACAAAAAAACTGATGACGACGATGATATAATCTACTTTTTTATTTTATTATTGATATTTTCGGATTTTAAAGATTAATAAACAATTGCACTCAATAATTTGGTCATTTCAATCATTGTTTAATGTACTCGATAATGGCCGATTCTAAATATAAAATAAGTAAATAATAAATATTATTACAAACAAACCCCACAAAATCATATTTGGAGATCAGTTTCTCACGAAAAATTTTGCATAATTCGGCCAAAAGCGAAAATGACCCAATATTTGTTTGTTACGAGATTTACATTACCGCTTAAATGATTATTCTTATAACAATATGATTCATGATTTATATTGATACAGATGATTTAAGGTGACTCACCAACTTGATTGAATTCAATATTTACAATATTATATTAACCTCAAGATATTATATTGTTAATTTAATAAATATTTGAACATAAATAAATCATTGGTAATAATCACCAATCAAACTATTGTTTAGAATGACCCAAGATTATTCACTAAAAAATAATCATCAAATGCTTTATACCAGAAATCAAATAATATATCTTTTGCAGTTGGCCTTTTATTTGGATACATTTATATGTGCTAATTTAATATAAATTTTTGGTGTATTAAATTGAAAACTAGGGTCTTTACTTCTTCACATATCTTTGATCTCAAGGTTTCCACACTATTAAATATTTGTTGATCTGTTGATACAACTGACATCAATATTCCAAAAGCCATAAATATAAACGTCTAATGCAAGGTTCCGGAACAACCGGATTTTATTTCCTGTTCAACAATTTTAAGCCAGGTCTATATATTTAAATTCGAGTTCCCAGTCCAGTTTCCAGTTATTTGTCACTGGAATAAAAATTTAATATCCTTGTCCGCCACGCTTCAAAATCACACTTTGAAGATTACGTCATAAACAGTCTGAGTGTGTTTGAAGCATGTGCTCAAAAAAAAAAAAATAACAAGTCTAATATTTTATTTATATAGATTATTTGGAGCTAAACCCGTTCGAGTTAAATTTAGCTCTAACTTAGCATATTTATATTATATATAACTAATATTACGTAACTTATATTTCGAATTTGATTGGTCAAAAGTTTGTTTTTTTTTAACACCAAAACCGGATTGAGCCAAACCTATATAGTACGTGTGAAAGAGGATTCTCAAAAAACAGAAATCTAATAAAAAGAAATCTTTTGTTAATCGATACTTTATACGTATTTAAATAAACTGTTATGAGTTTTGTCAGAAGATGTGTCTGTAAAAAATATTGATTATAAATCTACACATAATAATTGGAACTCCCAAGAAAAGGATTTATTAATTTTGATTTGTTATTATTATTTGTTATTTATTAATAAAAACTGGATTTATTTTCAAAATTAACCGGAAAAACCGGTTATTCAAAGTACAATAAAGAAGTACATACTATACTAATACTAGTTTGATGCCAATGTATGGGATCTACCATTTAACACATCTGGTATATATTAATATGCATTTGACATTGATATTGTTATCAGGGATGGCCGCGTAAAGGGTTTAAAATCCTAATTTGGTGATGATTGTTTTGACTAGACTAAAAATTTGGCTTAACAATAACTAAATAATTTAGTCAGTTTAGCCAAATGTTCATTTAGGTTGCATGCTATTGAAGATCATGACGGAATAATATTTTGTTTATGGATCTCTTTAAACCAATAATAATAACAATTTATAGTGCAAAAATTCCATCATGTGAATATATTCATAAATAAATCTTGAAACACGTAGTTTGGATAAACAAGAGTTTATTTAAAAAATATAATATAAATAAATAAACTGTTAATTAAATTAGTTATAGTTGATTCATTTTAACTAATATCTAATCCATTGAGCTATAAAATATTAATTTGTTATCGGGCAAACAGCACTATTAAGCTATTTTTGGTTGCTTTGTTATTTTAGGTACGAAATGACGTCAATATGATCGATATACCAATACAACATTTCATATAATTAAATCATATAATTAAACTTAATAAACAGTGACGTTTGAAAGAATAGCTTAATAGTGATTGCCTGATAACATCGATATTGGGCGTGCGATGGACAATTTCAGTGACATCCAGGATGCGCACAATATCTTATACATATTAAACATAATAAAATAACAATAGTAATAATTACAATCGTTATCTCTAATGATTGTGATCTTGTTGAAGTTTACAGACTGAGGATAAAATGTTCGACCCAACAGACTAGAAAAAATAATAATATTGGTAGTAGAGAAAGAGAAGAGGATTGGCATAAAAGTAAACCAGTGTGAGATGTTATAAACTTGGGCCACAAAGCAGCTTGATGTTCCTGGAAAAATATCAACAGGGTTGATGTTGTGTAGGACCAGGACATATGGCTGTTTATTATAGACAATCTGAAATATGAAAACGCAAAGAAATCAGTCAAAGAGAAGGACGAATAACTAGGATTATCAATACCAAAATCGAACTCTATACCGGAACCAAACTAAATCAACCAATAATATCAAGATTTTGGAAAATATATGGCAGCTTTTATAGATACACGTTTAGAGGTAATCTGAAGAATGGAATTATATACAAAATGGGGCTTTGTTTGTCATAAGGAAGAACAAATATAATAGTTCAATTGAGCAAAATAATAGTAAATCTAAAGGTGAAATTTCAAGTTGAAAAACACCCTTAAAGATTTTATCAACGAAATTTTTATTTATGTCACTTTAACATTTACCTTAAAGAAATCGATTTGTTGTCATATATTTCATTAATTAAAATCACTGTATTTCACATGTATAAAGAATGATGATTTTAGTGGCAATGAAATACTCTGACATTTGAAGATTATCTAAGGAAAGATAAATTGCTAACAAAGCTTAACCAAGAAGAAAGAGAAATAATAACACTAGGAAAAAAAAGTGAGCAGCAATTACTTAATAAAAAATTGGGGGGGGGCTTATAGTTAAAGAATCGAGCCTTTCTCGGAGATGCAGCAGAAACTAGGCTTGTTGACATTAAAATAAATGTGTATATTCAAGCAGGTATGGAACAAATATTTTAAAAATGCTGCTTTTTATTCAATCATTATTAAGTAATTAATTTATAGTATATATGGTGTTATAATTATAGATTATTTTAGTTGCTACTATTTGGCTTAGAAAAAATGTTCGTTATTATTGACAGTAATATAAATTGGGCTTAAATTCTTTGTCTGTCATAGAGTAAGATCTGTTATAGAAAAATCCGTTATAGAAAGAGTGGGACTGTATTAATATATTGAAGAAGAAGAAAAGTAATCAACAAGCGTTAGAAAAAAAAATTGTAAAATAAATATAATAATATTGCATGAATTAAAATTTTTCTCCCATGTTCCTGCTTGCACACCACTCTAAATGATTAAAATTTGGGAAAAAAAAATTTTTTTTTAAGCATAACAGAATTTCCAAGTATGATCATTTTCCACGTGATTATTTTTTTATTATCCAGATTTGTTTAAAAAAATTTTTTTTATTTCTATTCTGCAATATTTATGAATGAATTTTATAATAAAAGAGGTTTGGAATATATGTGAACTTATATAATGTATATATAACTGAATGAATGTATTTATTACTTCAAATTCTTTTAAAAGATTTAATTTTAAACATAATTGCCTCGAATGTAAGCGGCACATATTAAAAAGCAAGAGCATGAGGACGAGAATGAGAATGAAATAGTAATATGAATAATTAATAATAATAAATTTTTTTAATATTTGGCATTAAATTTGTCGACCAATCATTTTTTTTAAAAGTTCAATTAACTATGAAAACTTTAATTTCTTTATTGTAGTATAAATATAATTTGTTTTTCTTATAGATACTGTATATATTAAGTACTTACTTCCAGTTTTTACAATTTTGTTTAAATGATTGTGTTAATTAATTAATTCATTAAAGAAATAATTAAGAATAAATGAATGAAAAATTTTGTTTAAAAAAAATTGTAACGAATGAAAAATTTTTTTTTTTAAATTAAATATTTCCATATTTTTTTTTTCTATTGTTAACATAAAAATAAAAAATGCAAAGTATTAAAATGCGACTTGATTTACATTTATGATGGTGGGAATGGATGAGAAAAATCTTATTGTTTCTATCTAAATATTAATTAGTCATTAATGCTTACTGTATGTTATTATATAATACAAAAATTAAATTAGGATTTAAAGTTTAAAAAATGCTGGTTATGTAATTTTAAAATAGTTTGTGTAATAAATAATAAATAATAAATAATGAATAGATTATAATCTATGTCGTTTACCAAGCCGGTATTTACAATTTGGACAAGAATGTATTACATCTATTATAATAATCAATAGTTAAGAAATTTACATTAGTACAATTCAATTCAATTCAATTCAAACAAATGATTTCACATATGAAATTAAAAAAAGATTAAACAAATAAATACCTTTGCAATGGTCGAGGAAGAACGGAACCCAGAATAAGACAATCGTCAATACAAATAAACACAGTGATAATAGGTAAACAAAACTTCCGTTTTTATAATCAATTTTAGTTCTCACAACTTTTTTACAATTTTTACATTGTGTTTTGACAGGGAAAAACGGTAATTTTAATAATAAACACGGATTATTTCGTCTTCTCCCACTACTGCTACTGCTACCACTATCACTACTACTTCTTCTCTTATTAACTGTAGCGGCTATTGTTGAAGAAAAAGAATCTTCATCATTATTAATAACATTATTACTTGATATTATTTTTTCATCTTCGTGTTTTATATTATTGAATCTATCATCATCATCTCTTCCTTTTAGATAATCGTCATCGCCATAATCTTCTAATAAGGATGACAAGGATGACGAGGATGAGGATAACAAGAAAGATGATGAACTTGGTGATGAAGATTTGGAATTTAATTCAAGATAATCGCTGCTATTATTATTATTATTATTATTATTATTATTATTATTATTATTATTTATTATTGACATCCTTATATTATTATTTTCACGAATATGAAAATTTAATCAAAGTTTTATTTGTGAAAAAAAAAAAAAATCTTTTTCAAGTCTATTTATACTTCGAGAAAAATATGCAAACTATAAAATTAATAATTTATATTACTATAATAGTATTTACTATTTACTATACAACCAAGTAGCGTGAAACAATAGTGTAGATCTAAAATTGTATAGAAGAAATATACAATAAAAATTGACCATTATATTTTTTTTCGGTTGAATAATCCAATTTGCTCTTTATGCTTGGCCTTTTCTCTTTTTCTTTCTTTTTCTTCTTTCTTCTTTCTCTTTCTTCTTTCTTCTTTCTCTTTCTTCTTTCTTCTTTCTCTTTCTTTATCAAAGTTCTGTGGTACAAAGTTGCTCAACGCCACAAATACAATGTGTGATATGTACGGGTTTTCACATACCTTTATATAAGATGATTGAGCCAAAGTGTAGATTGGATAAGCGCTGGGTTGTTAAATGCAATTTATTTGTGGTTGTTGTCTAATATCTTTTCTTTTGTATACACTTGTCCGGTTCTTTTAACTTGCTGTCAACTATTCTCTCAGTCTACATCCTGCTTTCTTGTGGACGAGGTTTTCTTTTCTAAAGATGCATGTGTAATCCTAAGATGTTTTCTTACAGCGTCACTCATTTTCCCTCAAAGGAAAGTAAGCTATAAAATTCTCAGTGTTCAGCTCTTTAACTTTCTTAATACGTTCTTGCAGAAGTTTCCTCCATTATAATTAAGTTTCTTCATCCACCTCAGAAATAGGTTTTTAGGCCTAATTATCATGTTCTATACTAAGCCCTTTGATGCCTACCGTTTGGAGTAGGTTTTAAGTATCCTTTTTTGACCAATTAATAAAATTTTTTGTGAGTTTATTTAAAGGAACATACTTACAAATATGTTTTTTCTGCTTTCTAAATGATACATGCGTACATAAATTTATCCCACGTAAAAATGAAAATATAAAATGTAACATGAGATCCGTATAAACCCAAGAATTATTACACTATCAGAAGTATTTTTAAAAAAGAACAAGACGAGAATTTAAAATGACTAGTACTCAGATACTTGAAGTTTACTAAGAAGAAAGAAAAACAATAAACGGGAGTATTTATATTTATTTAATATTTAATTTCTTTAGAAAAAGAGAGAAATGTGTTTTCTAAAACAATCGAAACCTACTCCAACGAACAAAGACCTTGCTACTCATTTTAAAATTCGTTATAAGTGGTATTTTATTATATAAAAGTTCGCTAGCACGTCACTGTAGTATAGACGAATATATAATTTAGTTACTATTTGTGTTGTAAAGACTAAAAAGAAAAAATAAAAAAATTCACCTCTAATTATGTAATCATGGGAGATTTTTCTTTTTTCTTAGTAAACTTTATAATTTCTCCTTCCTTCAAGTGTCCGAGCATCAGCTATACATAATTCTCGTCTTGTCCTTTTTTAAAATAGCATGCTGTAATTCTCGGGTTCTGTGGATCGTATACAAATTAATTTGTATCAATATGGATGACAATTAATATATTAACATCACAATCACATTACACGATAGTGCACAGTTGTGGCGTTGAGCACCAAAATTAAAATTCATGGTAATTTTAATTATTTCATACAGGTGTATACATGCCAGTTAATATTGTCTTTTTCTTCTCCTTAATTAGAGGAAAATATGGAAATGAATGGATGATCACCAAAAACAAAATCGTCATAGAAGAACTTTGTTGAGTGAGACAAGTCAATTAAAGATGTGGTGTGATCAATTGTTTTATAAATATTATTCACTGACAAGACAATATTAATAATAATCAAATTTTACCCCACACTCGTATAATTGGAATATAGGATAATATTAATTACTTTTATTAATTACTTACATTATTTGGCATTAAATATTACAATGCATTTCGATTGCCAAGACCCACGTTTATTATTTATATTCGACATGCAATATATAATTATGTGTTATGTAAGAGATGAGTAGACATGTGAATAAAAGGTTAAATTAATTATTGGAATGATTATATTGGAATGAATGTATTAATGGGCTTCTAAAAAGAGATATTAATATTCGAAAATAAGATTTGGAATTTTGAAGAATTTACTAATCCAAAAATATTCAGATAAATGTATTTATGTAAAATTGCCAATTGAATAATTTTTTTATCATCTTTTTAATTTAATTTCTATTTATTACTCATAAAGAAAGTCTTTAAAGATGTTATAAATTGGAAGCAAATAATTATATTAACATTAATATCAAATACATCAAATTTTAACAGCCAATTTTATGATGCTACAGTAAACAGGTTTATTTTGCAAAAAAAAAATTTTTTTAAAAAAGAAATTATTTATTATTTCAAGTCAAAATAATTATGGCAAGCCATTTTACAATGCAGATCTTATATAATATGGTATTACTTCCCCAATTTATTAATCATTAAACACTTTATGGCAACCGATGATACTAACGCTATATCACCAACTGATTTCTCAGTTTATATTCAGGGATTCGGGACCCGTATTTTGCTTACTAACATTAAGATTCACATTTTGTCAGCACCAATCTTGTATTAAATTTAAATACACCCAATTTAATGTATAATGTATTTAAATGGAAAATTATTGATCCATATTATGTTGTGAGCACATGCTGAGGTTCTATTAAGAAAATAAATTCATAATTGTAAATTTGAAATTTTTAATGAAATATATATTTTAATATATATTACCAATTCCTGCATATATAACTTTGGACGTAAATGATTTAATAAAAATTAGAATTAGGAATGTTAATATAAACACTATAAGGTTTACCCATAAGATCATTCACACTATGCTGTGTAAAATAATTTCATTGACTGCATCTTTTCAGGTTTGATGACAGATATATATATACAAAACTACTTGTTTAAATTATAATAAATATACGTTTTCTTCTTTGGTAGTCGATTGCTAAACAGTTTATTGAATTCATCTCGGGCGTTTCTTTTTTTTTTGGTATATCCAGCAAAATAATTTCAATCAATTCTTTGACTTCTGCTCTCACTGTGCCAAATGAAAATTCGTTACGATCAACAGATAAACCTTTGTCATACCAAGTTTTTGGGTTCGTTCCTCTCCTGTTTTCTTGTCCCAAGTTAACTATAACGCTGTAAACATCCATTCTGTTCTCATGGTCATTGCGCCATAGTAATAGATATCATCATTCTCCTTTTGTCTGTTTCCTTCATAAGTTCTCTCCACAAACAAACAATTAATAATAAAAGTAAATAAAATGCAATATTGATGCAACTACTTGAATACTTACTGAAAATACATAACTTAACTCGGCCAAGTTTGTGCTGCTCCCTGCTCCCACAGCAAATGTTTAATTTCAGTCATATGGATGTTCTATCTCCTCGGCTTATTGATTGCAAAATCTACCCGACCGCTTGAAAATGAACTATCTAGCGTATACTGTTGTTGTAACTTTAGCGTCTCGTCATTTAAAGCTATAAGAGTACCACATAAAATCCATTCCACATATCCTGCTTATTCCACTTCTAGTATACTGAAAAACAATTTGTTTATTTTAAAAAGATTCTTCAGAGAAATCATTATCTCGCCAAGTACTTTATCCACAAGTCTTCAAAAGTAATTGTTACCCACGGAGTTTAAACTTGAGTAGATCTTCAAATTTTTCTAGGTTATATTGTTATAGTGAGTGAGACGCTTGAATCCAAAACAGGGAATGAAGAGTTTGTCATTGTTGTGATAATAACATTTACAAATGCAAAACTTTAGTGTTTACATAAAAATTCAACTACTAAATTTTTCAACTATTTTATCAACTCTGCATTTACTGCTATTAGTTGAGAAGCTTGTCTTCTGTCAACATCAGGGATCCTAGGTCAGAAAAATTTCCAATTTCATTGTTTTTTGTCAATATCAATCCTTTTTTCTTGTATTGTAAATATGTAATAACGTCTTTTTTTTCACTTCTTAGGGTCAATAGGCGACTCACTTAACAAAGACTCATCTTGATCATCTAACTTTATGAATTTAACTATTATTATTTGACTCTTTTATTTTGGTAAAATAGATATATTAAACAGTTATCAATACTATCAATATTAATATATATTAAAAAAATATCAGAATACTCTTGAAAAAAAGATAAAAGACTCAAAGGACTCTTTGAATTGAACATTTATAGTGTAAAAAAAAAAAAAATAAGAAATTTTTTTTAAAATGTGGGCAGGAGCGAATTAATATCAACTTCTTTGACCAAATGCCCATAAGAGGTAGTTCGACTTGGTATTGATATTAATCTAATACCAAGCGTGGTACGTCTATGAATATGTAATGATCAGACCTATAACTAACCAGCTGTATTTAAACATGGCATGATGTATGAAATGGATAAAATTCAATCATGGCCTCCATTCTAATTTGATAAGAAATGGACCTTCGCTACCATGATATATATTTAGAAACAGGATCCTTCCAGCATCTTTACTTTGCGACACATTCGCCAAAACCAAGCTACAAGTTGTTATAATTTTTAGTGGAGTTATTATATATTTTTGCGCAGTCGACGAATTTAGAATGTCTGAAATTGTTGGGTCAAATGTAAACCGAAAAACTGAACCAAACCGTTCAGAGCTTTAATGTAGACACAATTTCAGTCAAATCGAGTGATCTAAAATATCGTGGATAAAAAAAGGTACATGTAATAATGATATTATGTGTGTTGTACCCATAAGTCAACCAATGATTTTCTCTTCAAAGGATCTATTCCCAACAAGCAAGTTAAATCAAATTTCTTGAAATTTATCTTGTGGAAAATCACTTATTTTCACTCCTTCTTTCCATTTGTGGTTCTATAAATCTGAAGGGGATGTGTATGATGCGATGCTTAATACATTATTTCCTGTCTTTTTCGTCTTGTTTTTCATGGTTGTGTTAGATTGAGTATATACTGTACACTTCGTGCAGCAAGTATTGTACGAACCATTTTTAATAATGATAATTGTACTTACATGCTTTTTTTAGGTTGGGTATGTGGGATTTATAATCGTACTTACTGTACTCAATCTCTAATTTTTTATGTTCGTACTATACTCACTGCACGAAGTGTACAGCACTCAACCTGCATATACCCTGTTTTTCAATATTTCAGGGAAAACTGGGCGCATCAAAAATGTGCTGTTGTCATTACTGAATGACACATTATACAACATAGTCACTTGGGTGTTTCCGCCGATAGTTGCTTTAGCCTATGATGATTTGCTGAGTATAAAGATACTTTCATTTTGTAAACATGGGTTTGCATGTAGTTTGCGCAGTAGTCACAATAATTAAATATAAAAAAGTTCAACAACTTGGTGGTGAAAAGCTGACTATGGTTTTTGTTTGTCATTTTTTTCTTGACATTTTTTCCAGCTATAGCCATTCCAACATTCTGGACTGTTATTATTACAACTAAACATTTTTTTGATCCAATTAATATAGTAAGTATTCCTTACATTATTTAGGATACTGTTGGTTACAATGTTCATTGCTTTTATGCTATTTTGTCTCATGGTGTGTAATTCAAAGAGATCATATGAAATACTTAATTCGAATATTTTTTCTCAGATGTTTTTATCTCCTGAATATCCTGCAGACATTATTTATTGTGTTAAAATGGCAAGCAAATTTTTACTTTGTCAAAGAATGCGTGTTTGTACTGGTCCTCTCTTTAACAAGAAATGTGTCCTTCTTTACACAGAAGGAACTAGCACCTGGTAACTTTCTGGCTACTTCAACAACATTCACTCGACATTTCCTGCGCAAAGTAATAGAATCAAATAATCGGAAAACCAATGTCTGGTTCCTGAGTAAAAAAATAATAGATGAAGGTCAAAAGAAAATAATTAGGGAAATGGCCGAAATGAAAGAAATTCAAAAGAATGAAAGTCAAAAGTATGAAACTCTAAAGGAAGAAATGGACAAATCAATGGCTGAAATGAAAGAATCAATAAAATGGAAAAATCAAGATATATTGGATGCAAATAGATAAGCCACAATAATAGTAATAATGGTAATTTAACGTCAGTTTCCTTTTAGAAAGATAAAGGACTACATGTATTTATTTACTATTAAATCATTATATATATATATATATATATATATATATAATGATTTAATAAAAACACATTCCCCGATATAAATATATCAATAAAAAAATAAAATTGCAACAATATATAAGAAAAAAAAATATAAATAATCAGTTTTGATATCACATCAATGCAACTATAAAGAACGTTATCTAAATGAGATAAATCAATCCCTAACTGTTGAGCAATAGTTTTTTCTATCACTGTCGACGACAAAATAGCATAAAATTAACCAAATAACGGCAGAAAGATAAATCTTATGCAGAGAAGTTATTGATGACTAGTTGTGCCAATCCCCTGTGTTGAAAAATTGCGCCCTTTCTTTCTTTACCCTTATCAAATGTAATCTTCAACCATGTTATCAATAATTCTACAATTTTGTTTGGTGGATCAACATATACAAAAGAGTAGCCGATATCAATTGATTAAATTGATTATCAGTTAAATTCCATTGGCTCGCTTATTATAAATTCAAGTCATGCACATACAATCTTCATCTAAAGCAGATTCTTGGATAACTTTGGCAAGTAATCTTGAAAACTCTTGCCAGTTCCAACGATTTCTAACTTATTCTTTAGATCATCTAGTGTATTAAAAATTCTTTACTATTACTAATAATGTCATATGACTTTTAAAAGCTTAGAATTTTCGTATGGTCCTCTATTGAACTTATTACTATTACTATATGTCTGTTTGTAATCTCCAGCAATGAATGGCTAAAAATCTCTTCAATGAAGGTATCTTCATTGTTAGTATTTGCACAATTTTAATATAAGCAATGGAAGAAAGCTAGTTAAATGAGGAGTGTGTTGCCATATTGCTAATTCTAAACAAAGTAAGTGGGGTTTTTCCTTTATTCTATAAGTCATTAATATCAAATTATTCATTAATTCATTAATTTCATATTTTATTGTAAAGAACAATAAATAAATTCAATTTTTAATTAAACCTATCGTTGGAGAATTTTCTTTTTCTTGCTTCATTTAGACATTTTTTTTGTTACTGTTTCCTAAAAAGCACCATTATCATACTGATCATTCTCGCAATTTCCAGGAAAAAAATTATTTTCACTTTGAATAATAATACCTTTTTTATCCAATGAATCAAAATAAAATTTGCTTACTGCATAATAGTTACATAAATAAGTTTAAAAAAGAAAATAGTTTCGGAGTTATCTATATATTAATATATACTAATTAATACTATTGATTGTCTATAAATATCAATATAGGAAAAACTTTACCATATTATTTTCTCTATTCCTAGAAAGAAAAATGAAATTTATCTTATGGAAAATCGTTTTATTTTCACTTCTTCAACTTGTGAATGCATCCATCATTGATGAAGGTTATAGCTCTGAACAGGATGTGTATGATGCAATCATCAACACATTCTTTCCGATATTTTTTGTAATTTTATTCAATATTTCAGGGAAAAATGGGCGCATCAAAAATATACTGTTGCCATTACTGGATGACATATTATACAACACAGTCACTTGGGTGATTCCGCTGGTAGTTTCTTTGGCCTATGACGATTTGCCGAGTATAAAGATATTTTCATTTGTAAACATGGCTTTGCATGTAGTTTGCGCAGCAGGAGCGATAATTAAGAGTGAAAGAGTTAAAGACATTGATTTTAGGCAAACTTCCATGACTTTTGATTTAATCTTCCTTTTCTTGATATTTTTCCCAGCTATAGCCATTCCAACATTCTGGACTGTTATTATTACAACTAGTCATCTTTTTGATCCACTCAGTATAGTATTCCTTACATTATTTGTGTTATTGTTAGCTACTGCATTCCTTTTTTTAATACTATCTTGTCTTGAGGGTTGTGACCTAGAGATACCAGATCTAATGGTTGATAATATTCGTAATTTATTACTTGTATGTTTTTATCTCCCGAATATTCTACAAACATTATTTATTGTGTTAAAATGGCCAGTCAATTTTTACTTTGTCAAAGCATGCGTGTTTATACTGGTTCTTTCTTTAACAAGAAATGTGTCCTTTTTTACAGAGAAGGAATCAGCACCTGGTGACTTTCTGGCTACTTCAACAACATTCACTCAATGTCTGCTGCGCGATCTCATAGATGAAGCTCAAAAGGAGGATGAAGACAAAAAGGATGAAGAAAAGATAATGCATGAAAGTCAAAAGGATGAAAATGAAAAGGATAGAATAATTAGGGAAATGAAAGAAACAATAATGAAATTGTGTGAAAAGACGCAAATCGATATGCCACAATGGTGATTTTGTTGAAGTTAACGTCAGTCTTTTTCTTTCTATTATAAGCATATCAATAAACGATGTTTTTAGTAAAAGTTACTTATTTCTTGTATTACTTACTATTTCTCTTTTTTTTATAATAAACTATTAAACTGTAAATTTATTTATGTATAGATTATACTTGGGCCCGTTCAAACTATTATTTCTATTTTTAACACCAAATTTAAATGTCAATAAAAATTCTCCCTCAAGTATGAAAAGAATGACCTGCAATTTGAACATACCCACTTAATGAACGCTCACTTGTAACATGAGATGGTGGTGGTCTTTTAATACTTGCTTGCATCACCATTGTGTTTAATGCTGATGCTGTTTCATTAAGCAACTCGTCGTAATTCAAAATATATCATTATTGTAATATCATGACTTGATAGTAAATTTGACATGCTTTGCTTTTAGATGAATGAATTCGCTTCTAGATCTCACCAAGCCAATTTATTATACTGTGTCAGGCTGAACCATTATTTTGAATTTCGACTTTTACCTGCATATCTTAAACTTTCTGGATTCATCGCATCTGATTTTTATTATACAAATACCATTTTCAATGACAGTCACAAATGTAATATCAGTTGGTCAAAACAGAGAATCATACAAAAAATTTTTTTTTCGTAAATTTCAAATATTTTTTTGCAACGCGTAAATTTTAACTCAATGAAAATGATAAAATATCATTTTCGTAAATAAAAAGCAGAGGTGAAAAAACGAGCTAAAAAATCATCAATTAATATCATTTTTTCCATTCTTCAGATTTAATTGTACCATCAAAAGATTTTTCGTTAATAATTATAATTTTTTGAATAAAAATAGTCTTTTCTTCCCATAATCCTTTCCAAACTTTTAACCCAACATATTAGAATAAAGACACCAAAAAAAAACTTTAATAAAAATAAAAAATAGTCGAATTAATGATTATGTTCCTCTTAAACAACCCATTGGACATTCCTAGTATTTCTAATAATACTTTTCAAATTTTGCTAAAAATAATGGCCATGTTTAAATTAAACTAAATGGATTTATTTAACAGAATGCGATTTAAACCGTTAGTCCAATTGCTATTATTATTATTATTAGGAATATCCTTATCCTTATTATTATTATTATTATTATTTGTTTATTGGAAATAATTTTAATTTTTTATTATTTATTCCAAGTTTTAATAACAATAATTATACTATTACATAACATCTAAACACTTTTTAATCATCGTCTCCGTTATCTCTATCTCTACAATTTCTAATGCATCTAAATATGCGATTACAACTTCTATATCTAAATGTACATTTCCGTACACAACGTACACATCGATAACGACCATCACGACCCTTTCTTTCAAATGTAATCTTCAACCATGTATTACTGCGAATATTCTCTTCTCCAAATTTCATGTTTATTTATTTCTGCTCTTTTATCTTCTGTTACCTCAAGATTATTGGTAATTCTATAGAATCTACTCGTCCCGATACAAAATTGAGCACAATGACTAATTTTATTGTTTTCTTCCATAATAAATTGTGCAAAATTCTTTTTCAAAGAAGGAAAATAATTCTCAATTTTGTTTGGTGGATCAACACAAAAGAGTAGCTGAGATCAATTGATTAAATTGATTATCAGTTAAGTTCCATTGCCTCGCTTATTATAAGTTCAAGTCATGCACATACAATCTTCATCTAAAGCAGATTCTTGGATAACTTTGGCAAGTAATCTTGAAAACTCTTGCCAGTTCCAACGATTCTAACTTATTTTTTAGATCATCTAGTGTATTAAAAATTCTTTACTATTACTCATAATGTCATATGACTTTTAAAAGCTTAGAATTTTCGTATGGTACTCTATTGAACTTATTACTATTACTATATGCCTGTTTGTAATCTCCAGCCAGAATTCGAGGCACTAGCTACTTTGCGCATGTTATCAAATTTGTTATTACAAAGCTATGATGTCCAAGGGACAATATTTTGGTGCGAGAAGCTTTCTTTAATTTATAAGATGATTGCTTTTTCTGTATTCATAATGTCTTTTTTTTTTTTTTTGAAGCATCATCAAGTTACAAACTCAAACAATAAATGGCTAAAAATCTCTTCAATGAAGATATCTTCATTGTTAATATTTTCACACTTTTAATATAAGCAATGGAAGAAAGATAGTTAAATGAGGAGTGTGTTGCCATATTGCTAGTTCTAAACAAAAGTAAGTGGGGTTTTTCCTTTATTCTATAAGTCATTAATATCAAATTATTCATTAATTCATTAATTTCATATTTT